TTTTTTATACAACGGGCAAACGGGCCGTAGGCCCACCTCATCAAATGTTAAGTGATACCCCTGCCAATGCCAGAAGGCTCGCGAGTGCGTTACCGTCCTAAGGCCCGAAGGATCCTAAGTTGTATTGGTTCGGAAATACCTCGACGGGCTGGAAAAAAGCCATAAAAAACCACTCAGTTACGGAATGACGGACGTCAAAGTAATATGCATGGAATTTCATATTCTGTCTCATCGTCCGATGATGAAACTCAGGTAGAGGTATCAATCCGAACAAGTCCTCTACAATCTACAATGGTAAATGCGGTAGAAGGTGCTGAGAGACCCCACATCTCTATCCAAGGGATCAAGCCGCTCGGAAAGTGACTGGTCGTTGACGATTCGAACCGCTCTTCATTAACTATTAAAGTACCTATAATATCGCGTAGTATAGGTTCCCCTTACAGTCCGAAAGATCATTCATCTACGGGTTTCATTAAGTGCGTAACTTTTATAAAAGTTACATATAAATATTACACGTAAATTATTTTAAAGTTTGTTGACTATATTATATTAATGTCAAGTTATTCAAGGGTTCGAGTATAACAACATCAACCATGCGTTCTTTAAGTGATAGTCATAAGAATCAAAGGCATGGCGTGATATTTGTGTTTGTTTTGAGATAATACATTATTTAATCTACTTTTGTATAATAAAGCCACACCCACATCATTACAAATGATAACAATACCTCCCAATTCAGTGTCGAATGATTATTCAAATTGCATCATATCGAGCACTTTACACTTGCTTTCACTCTGAATTAAATTTATTGATATCAAATTAGTAACACTAACTAACACGCAATCCCAATCTAGTTTACCAACCATAGAGGACTGCACATAAGTTGGGATTATTTATTAGGCGACAACATTTGTTTGTTTTGCTACACAATTAATTCGTAATTACTGATCATTTAATCGAAATGTAACGAAATTAAAAGTACCTTTATCCAGCGATCAGCTCTCGTGTCATAGGTCTCAATAAATGCTGTAGGAGACCCACCACTCCAACCACCGATTGCAAACAGAACCTGAAAAATTAGTAATCAACAATCAATCAATATATGAAATAAATCTTAAGGTTAATGTTTATTTTCAGAAATCAAATCATAGAGTGTAAAAAAAGAAATCATTTGTTGTGTACCCTATTCACACATACTGTACGTGTGAATAGCGTAGGTACAAAACAGTAAACTTGTTTCATTTCTTTTGTTTAATCCCAAAAAACAATACAAACACTACATTACCTCATGTGGAACTCTTGGGCGTGCTATTTCTGGAGTTGCAACTTCCCCATCTCGTTGTGCGATCATCTCCAAATCATACAGAAATTTAAGTGTCTCAATAATTATAGGACGCGAATTTTCATTTCCCGTTACGTATGGGTGGTCCTTTACGTTTTCCAAGAAGAACTAAAACAACGACGCGAGGTAATACTAAATATATTTTCGAGTCCGACTAATGAAAGTAGTAATCTTTCTTTATTTTTGAATTAAAAATTAAAAACAGGTATAAAAAAACAATAGCATAGATAAATATGTTGTAATTACAACTCGATACATTATGTATGTAATAGAAATTTGGTAGTAACTTTAAAATTCTTCTTGCCTGCGTATCAAGTAATCCAAGTCGAATACTGCCCATTAGTTTAACTGTGTGCTGCCATCTAGCGTCCGGATCATAATTTACCCAGCGTAAAACTGATTCCCACACTGCCTCTTCACTTTTTACATTCAATTCATCCTCTAAAATAATGCTGTTCAGCTCCTCAAGCCCTAAGTGAAGAAACTCATCACTCTGTGTGGCAACTGTTACGAAATAGCGGAGAAGATATCGTCTTGCATCACCTTCCAGTTTGTAGCAAAACACTCGTCTGAAATGCCTTTTATTTTCAATCAAAAATATAACAGGAATTATAGTCCTTGGTATAGGGGAACAACAAACTAAACAAAGTTTAAATTTATCATATAGATTTAACTTGCGAACACGCAGTTACATCGTGGTTTTATGAGCGTCGTGACTGTCCAAAACGTTGTCGCTAAAATCTGGACGTTCTTAGGTTTGACTACTTTTACACTACCAATTTTAGCATTACTTTTTTTCTACCTGGCAAACATCATGATTCCGAGGCAGTTTTTTGGACTAAGAGAGACTCTGAGATGGTCACAGCAAAGTTGAAGGACGCCAAGGAAAGCCAAATAGTCAGCAGTCATAAGCAGTTCATGGACATTGGTATCGGTGACATCAATCCGGCGGAGATACGCATATTCAATTAGCAGCAACAGAATTTCAGATCGAACGCCAGATATCTGAACGTCACTTTGTTCTCGGGAATGCAAAGTTGTCGTGAACAGAGCCCTGTATTTAAACAATGCTAGGTAAAAGCTATACTTAAATAATATATAGCTTACACAAAAATTTGAATGATAAATGTATGACCAGTGTTTATATATTACACAAAAAAGGAAGATGCTTATATATAATTTTTATTCGTTTTGTTTCACATCAAGATTAATAGATTATTGACACTTGACATGACCTCGATCCTTTCAAAAGATTAATCTAATATATCTCAGTCCGAATGTCGGCGCTAGCTAATATAGTTAAAACGTAGATTATATACTAGCAGGACTGGCTTTGGTAGCTATGCTTTTCCTAAGACAGCAAGAAAAACTATTTGTTAATAATACCATAATCTTTATCGCGGGAAAATCTGCGAGAGGCAAAGCTATGTGTCTAAATTATAGCATTGTTTTAGGCTAACAGGAAGTAAGGACTGCAGGCTGAGAGTATAGCGCGATGCACGGGAAAGGCTGCGCCATCATCAGCTCGCACGATGGCATCGCACAGCAGCCGACACTCGCGCAGTCGGTGTAGCGCCTGCATAGCCGCCACCGACATGCATCGACCCGTCTCGCGACCCGCCGTTTGCTGGCAAACCATTTTTATATAAAATATGGTTATCGTGATAGAACGTAATAAAAATAATCCAGTGATGCTACATCCTTTTATAGGGAAGCGGTCAGTCATAATTTGGCATTGTTGTAATCGTAAACGCGATGAAATTTTTTAAGTATTTAATTCAATATAGGTGAAGCTAAGTAAACTCGGAGTGATAATTTTGAATGTCACCATAAACTGCCTCTAGCTCTGGTCATCTTGCGAAATTCATTGTGGCCATGAAATTAGATTAATTTTAAATGTTTTTTAACAGTAAATCCACTTAGTTGAGTTGCATGTAAAGTTGATATTTTACTCACAGTGTTATTCGGGTCGATTTCCATTATACGGTTAACGGAAAGTCATCATTAAAAATTGCCGCTGATTATAAAAACTCAACAAAGAAATTAGACGCGTCTAGACACAATCGGGATTTAGTTTCGTAATTTATAAAAAATACCGTAAAAATGTCTAAAAAATAGCAAAATTAAGTCATTTGATAAAACATTTTAGGTTAGCAAAAAAATTATATATGAATGACAAGCATGTCAAACCTTTTTCTTCCAGATGACATTACTTGATATCAATATTTTCATTACGGCGGTTGCTTGGTTGCCTTGCTGAAATCAAACCTTTTATTTTTTACTGTCATTTCATAAATTCTATGTAATGTTTATAGCGTACACCAAAACGTTTGTATATATGCGTTGCTGTAGGTACTTTAAATTGATTGATTACATGAATTATTTCTCGGTTATTTCTTTCAAATTAATTCTAAGTATTATTTGTTTAAAGTCCCGTACATAGGATATGTTGATAGGCATAGTGAGAGATACATTTTTACGTCTGTTTATCTTTTTTTTAATGGTAGTAGGTCAGTCTACCAACTCAAAACAATTATTGTAGCGTCCGTCCGATATTTACACAATTGTTATATTTACTAATTAATATATACTAAATAGGAACCGATATTGTTTGTACTTGCTATTTTAATGTATGTATATGTGTTTATTTTATGTATATTTTGTAATTTAAATGAAATCTAATTAAATAAACAAATCCAATCTGTATTTAACGCTAACTATTTAGCTAATGCCGGAAAAGAATTATTACATAAGAATAATTTTTCATTTGCCTTTTTGTACGATGTTTATACTCGCATCCTGAATTTTTTAAACATATTGTTCTCTTAAAGTGAAAACGCGGTTTATCCAGATAAAATTACTGCAATATCTTAAAAGTCGTCCTACGACTATTTAGATCGTTATTTCTGGTTGAAAAATATGTTTATCTTAAATGATTTTCTGTATTTGGAATAAAAGTACATATTATGATGGATCAATTAAAAGAACCGCACAATCAGCCACATCAAACTAGCATGCAAATGACAAATTAAAAGCAATTAAATTATTTATTATGTCATATTATATCTTAAGGAAACATTGAGAAAGACAACATTACAATTCAAGAAAATTCTGAGCTATCTTGAAAGCGAATAGTTATCTAAATTGTTACTAGAGGTAGCTTAATACAAGAAATGAAATACCTAAACAAATTTCTATAATTTTATTTATAAATTGCGTTTAACTTAACCTAAAGTTTATCTAATATAAACACAGTTATATGAGAGTGTGTACTTAAACAAAACATTATTTATCTTAATGCGATTATACATTCGTTTTAAATATATGTAATTTTATACAAAATTGGTCTACTTAGTAAAATCACAAGCATAAAATAATATAAAATATCTAAACATAATAAAATAAAAATGCATTACGCATTAGATAATCTAGTCGCACATAAATCATACTTAGTAGTAATATGAAAAGTCAGTCGTTTACTAAATCATAAATAATAAATAAAATACTCGAAAAATTCTCAAATTAATAATTTTATCAATACCATCATTTACATACAGACAATTATTCTCTTTATAGATTTTTAAATTGCATGACACTTTTCATCTTAATTCAGTAAAAATTAAGCATATTTTTTCGTATACTTTCATGATTCATCGTTTTAGTTAAGAGGTACTGATACCTCCCTTGCAGTAATGCCATCGGAACGTAATCGAGAAAGGAGAGACTTATAAACTACAGGTGCGAAGGGCAGGACGACGCCTCGCTCTTGAATTTCCCCTGAAAAATAAGTCTTAATTAATAAGCCAAAAGATTAATTTCCAAAAAGAAGTATAACATCCGTGGCGAGATAGATGTAAAAAGATAAAACTCTAAGAATCCGCTTTGAAAAATTTCACAAGATTATAAAAATTAAGAATTAAGAAGGGCTCTGAGTGCTACTGGTTGTCTATTAAATATAACGATCAATGGAACATACATTATCTGAGGTTATGGGTTATAGGGTAATTGCCCCAATCGATTTTAACGTGAATACTTTAAATTTCCTAACATACAAAAACTTAACAATAAACAATATCGGGGGATTTACTATTTGAGAGCTTCTATCAAATTTTTTGTAATTTTTCGTATTTCGTCGATGCTCCGCTTATTGATTGTACCGCAGTGTTATATTAGTCTATGTGACCCGTTGATAATGTATATTGGTGAATTTTTAAAATCGATTCCCTATCCTTTACAAAAAAATGTAATTTAGATAAATGTAACTGATCAAATGCGTGGGTAATGGATATCTTATGACCTGGCTCGTACTATTGTTTAAGTGTGAATATAATAATACAAGTGACATTTCCTCATACATATAGGCACAGAGGACCCCATAACTTGGAGAAGCTTCTGGTGACCGGTAGAGTCAAAGGGCACGAGACCCCGAGGCCTCGCTGGACAGACCAAGTTAAGGTCCTTTAAGGCCTTATTTCGCTAAGGCTTGCTGAAGACAGGGGGAATGGTGGAAGCAACACCAACATGACTTTCAAAAATAAAGAACGCGACTAAAGAAGAAGAAGTTACGACTAGTTACACCCAGTATTGTGTATGTATCACCATTAAACTTACCATCGAGAACCATCTTTGCAGCAATAGCTGTGGGTAGACCAACAGTGCGGGCCATGGCAGTGTGAGTAGCGGGATCCCCACGCACCGTCATTGTCACTTCACGTCTCTCTTTCCTACCGTCACTCCATGTCACACCTATCTCATGGCGGAGGACCACGAAGTCTGTTTCGTCTTTCTCTATGAAAGGAATAAAGTATATTACAGTATATTATTTATGTATACACATAATACAATTTGCACACAAAACTAAAGAAGTATATACAACAAAATATGTAGTGCAACGCGTGCATCGATATTAAGCGTCTTACAGACAACTATTATACAAAACTATTATAGAATACAAAACTTATTATTATCAAAACGTAATTTAATTAATACAACTAATTTCTAAACAAAGCGAAAGCAAATAATATACCTTTATAGAAATTACATTTTACCAAATAAATTATAGATATAATTAACTACTTTGCTGTAACTGGCTCCATAGTCCATACCCGTGAATGTGATTGGTGTTATAAGTTCAAAAAAAAAATTGAATTTAACTTAACAACGAGTTATTTTCATGTGAGCGTAATGCAACTAACTGCGTTTTAATCTGAAAATGTGTAATATTATTTTATTTCGATGGGATGGTGTTGAATTGCAATATTCTTCTTTACTTTATAAAAACGAAATAAAGTTTATAAATATCGTATTAAGTTTTAAAGTACTCACCTGTCCTTTTTTATCACCGCGTAAACAGAAATTGACAGAAAAAAACGTCAGAGTAGTTTTGTTAAAGTTAAATAATACTTACCGAGTTGCAGTCTCTTGCTAAGATAATGGCTGATGGTGTTTAGCGGGGAGCTGCACTTGATAATAGGTTCGTCGCTAAGAAATCCCAGGGACTCGATTGCCTGAGCACCATTTGTGCCTATACGTTCTACTAGCCGAGTCTTAAGGTTCTCGTAGAATATTGAACAATCCATTAAACCAAGTAGTTCACAGGCAAATTCTCTCTAAAGAAGAAAGAGAAATAACGATGCATAAAAAACTTTTTTGCGAAAAAGTTATTTAAATATTCATTATGGCTCAACTAAGCGTTAAGTCCTATTTAACCACTCTGAGCGTAAGATATAAAAAATAAGGGGATCGCTAAGTACGGAAGTCGTAAATTCTGCTAAGTCTGGACTCTTAATCGTACCCGAGTACAATTGTGTACTCACCCAAGTAATCTGTGGTCCTTCAGGGTGTAGAGACGGATGGGGATTCGGATCTATGAACCCGAATAGCTGTAGAGCCTTAATGGTTTCCGCAAAACCTAAAAATGTGGAAAATTATTTTAATAAAAACTTATTTTGCATTAGTGTATTTTTACAGAATACACTAAAGCAACAAGTATTTAAAAAAAGTAAAAAGTATTTTAAAAATAACAATAGGAATTGTGTGATTATCGCTAATATATTCTGACCAGACTCCCACATACGATGGCTAGTACTTACATAAATTAATAAAAACATATATATTTAAGAGGTACACCATAATCTAAAAAAAATAGCCATGACAGCATTAAAAAGAAATACCAAGACCACGCCATTAAAAAATATGCTTTTATTAGATTAAAAGTAAAATTACAATTATTTACTTCAAAGCTGCATTTTCAATAGAGAAACATTTTTTTTGGATTTGTTAAATATTTGAGCGTTAGGCCGAAGTTTAAACATCAAAGTTCCTTTCGATAGATGCGCATCGTTTAAAGTTTGTTTTACCATGTAAAACCGCAGGTCGTGTATAAGAAACGTTCTCGGATTACATTACCTCTGTACCTCAAGGTCCCTCTAAACATAGTGTGAGCGTCCTCTATTCCATATAAAGTAGAATATGAAGTACTATCTCTGTTAGGGAATCCTTCGAAAGCAAACCCGGGTAGGAAGTCAAGTTCTCGCGCTACAGACATAAGCTCCCCGCCGCTTAATACTTCGACAATCTGAAAAGTCATTGTAACGAAGTTTTGATTCACTGTAGGTTCTACTTGACAAAAATTGTGAAAATTTGGGAATTGTATTTCAGTATGATGATCTACGGCTACCAAGCAAGTGTTTACGTATTTATCAAGTTTAGTAATTGTTGCATACAAGGATTATTAATCAATTCCTTTATGCTCAGTCGAAGTTACTTTTAACACCTTTTAGTACTTTTTTAGATATGAGTATTTACGTATAACTGGATTACATGTATAATATATATGTAAAGAGAATGATCTCTTTAATTTGAATATTCACGCGCACTGCTAGTTCGTGAGTGAGCCGCGTCGTGTCACGTCAAGCTAGCTGCCATTGTCAAAGATGTAAAGGACAAATATGCTGAGATCGTTGAATTGTATTTTAATCTTATTTGTTAATTAATTTCATACTTAGTTAAGCTATATGCATCGAGAGGTGATAACAATAAACTTTTATTGTCGTTTCTTTACTTACAGGTGAGATTGTGTTAGTCTTGTAAGGATTGTATCAGTGTGTAACCTACTCGATAAATAAAATTGCATTCTTTACTTACAGAGAAACAAATAGAAGTTTTATTTAGCCTCTTGCAATTGAAATACAAACTATTGTCTTAATAATATATATATATATATATTATTATTTATATATTTCTGTAATTTCTTGGTGCGTACTAAATCATTTTACTATCTACCAACATCTAATCAAATCAAATACATATCATCAAAGTATTTATTTTTATTCCTTACATTACAATGGTAATGTTTTAATTATCAACGGTTCTGATTGCTAGGTATCTTAAAATATATTATATTAATAGTACAGGTAACAAAGCCTATCATATCAGTTGTTCCTAAGTTTGTGCCACATATATTTAAGCCTAGAAGTGTATTTTATAGGTACATTGTATACATTGTTTTATTAAGACATTTCAATAAATTATTAAGTTATGCATGACTTCACATTATTTCCCTTGACATTTAATTAGTTTCCCCAACCATTAGGTTAATTATTATTTATTGGCAATACTTATATCCATGTCGGCGACGCTCTTACCGGCCAAGAAAAGTATGTGGTACTGTAAATGAAGCTGACAGGTATTTGAAGTTGGTTTAATTTTTTTAAATTACTTTTTAATAATTCAGATATTAGCTAAAAAGTTTTTATACCGAACTAATTACGTTAGCTAGATTAATACCATGTCAACGGTTTAGAAATTAAAAAATATTGAAAACAATAATTTAAGTCTCGTAATATTCAACAACAACAATTTTTGGTTACTTCTGAGAAAAGTATCATTCGCTGTGAATTCAAGACCGGGAACAGTTGGGATAAAGGATTTCATTTTGGCGCTTTTTGAGCAAGTGAAGAAATTTATAATACGAAATTACTTACTAAATTTAATGTCACTGTTACGAATTCCCTTTGAGAATTTATAAAATCTCGATTGTTTCGGAGACAGACTACAGTAATCGCTTTTGCCCTTAGATACCACGAATAATAAATAAAGCTACTCATGTTGTACTAGTAAAATGTATTTCACCTGTCCTTTGCTAAGATATTTAGCCGCGGAAATAGTATTGAGCAGAACTCCGCGAGGATTCCATGAGAATTTGTACCGGAGCGCATTGTCACTGAACTCAGGCGCAGGTAACCCTAGAAAAAAATGTATACAGTGTATTGGATTAAATTAGCAGTTCAAGTGCCTTTTAGCAATCGATTGACAGATAACAATTTGATATTAATAATGTCTAGTACTCGCGTAAATTAAAGACAATATTATTAGTAACTTAAGTAATTCCAATGACAAGACCAAAACAGGCTGCAAATGCTTCATACCACCACAGTAAGAGACGAAGGAGTCAACTCTTCCACCGTGGTTCTGGACATCATGGATACACTCAAGTGCCAAAAGGTGATCGATGCCTGGGTCGAGACCGATCTCGTTTAGAATTGTTACGCCAGCCTCTTTGGCTCTGAAAATGTGTTTTGAAATGAATGATGATTTTGACTGACTATCAAAATTTGGACTCTTTGACAAAAACAAATTTCAATACATATTCACAAAATGTTGATATTTGTAGGGTAATTGTTTCGTAAACGTTATTAGTAGTAAGTATTAATAAAGCAACTGTACAACGAGAGTCTCATAGTAGTATCAATCGAATACTTGAATAGTTAACATCATTACATTAAAAAATATTTCCTTTTTCATTATTTACTTCATGTAACTGTAGTGCTTTCTATCGTAGCAAATGTCATAAGTATACTCACACATCGTGTAGCTCCTTTACTTCAGGTTGAACATACGAAGCGGTCACCATGTGAGCTCCTGCACTAACACATGCTCTTGCAACAGCCCCGTGTAAGTCATACGGAAGTAGTGAAACGACAACTCGCGCCTTTGATGCTAAGGCAGCGAGAGCGTTTTCATCATTCGCTTCTAGATATTCCGATCGGACGCTGTACTTTTCAGCTAGAGCGTCTGCTTCCTCTTTGAATTGTGATGCTTCAAAGATAACATAATAATAACTGTAGCAATAGCATGTAATCATAAAACTAAGTATCTACTATTGGAGCGCTATGGTACCGAGGACGTATTCATCATTCGCTTGTAGATATTCCTATCGGACGGCGGAGTGAGAGATTTAGTTTTAGTGTTACTTGGGACAACCTATGTCTGTTTGATCATTATAAGATTCTGTACAAAATATGTGGTGAGTAAAAAACGAAATGAAAATAAAATTGAGTAAGGTTTATTATGAAATAATATAAAACGTATTTAAAAAATTAACACCAGATTTCCGATACAATTTAGACGGAGTGATAGATCAAGTAAATAATGAAAAATACCTATAGTTACTGCAACATTCTTGTCTCTAGCGAGGTATTCAACGACAGGGGCAGACACTAATCCACTGCCGAGGATTACAATTGGCACTTGTTGGTCGTGACCTTCTACCTTATGACGGGAACGGCTGCAAGTATTTGACATATTAATAATTATATATGTATTATGATAAAAATATATAGTTCTATCACAAAAACCACTCACTAAAAATTAAATAAAAACTTACTTCGTATTAGCCATTCTCAACTCATTGATGTATTCAAATGGAGGCGTTAGCTGACCGTTGCTTGTGATAATAGCCTGAAACACAACATACTGTAAAGATAATATGTAATTTTTCATTTAATTTTATCATTTATTCTTATCGTTATAGGTAAGACGTGGAAAACAAATATATAGGAGTGATTATATAATTTATAAAAACATAGTCCAGACTGACAGTATGTCCCTTCCCCATAGAGCAACTCGTAAAGCGGTCCTAAAGTCCGATGAGCGGGCTGGTGCTCTACAATACATTAAATGATTTGAGTCTCTGAAGTGGCCTTTTCATGTTGAACCAGCCTTTAGCATAGCCACCACGACTTAGGCTTCTAAAGGACCAGGCTTTTCCATCTGGTGACGCCTGAATTGCAAGTGAGATACAGATAGATATTCTTTTATTTTCGCATCTCATACTAGAGCTGGAGTTTTGTGAATACCCTTGTAATTAATTATATTCGAAAACACATCGTAAATTTGGATAAAATTTCTAGCCTGGTTGCCGAAAACAAAGGATGTCCCAGTGCCCTTAAGCGGGCCATAGACGGACCGCATGTTGCAGTCGAGACCGACTGCTCTAGAGCAGTCGCGTTAAAGTCGTACACGACTGCAACACGACCGCATAATGCAGTCGACTACGACTGCTTGAAGCAGTTGTGTTCGACCGCAAAATAAAACTGATGCGAGTTCATTAACAAGATAGATTTCGATAAAGAAACACTGTTTCTTGTACTACTATTACGCAACCGTAGGCGTAGAAGACACCTTAGCATGGATGCGTCCAATACTACAATCAAGAGAACAGCATGGAATATTTCATACTTTGTATCCCCAAATGAGAAAAGACACTAAAAAGTTTTTCAACTACTTTAGAATGTATATGGTTTCATTTGATGAATTAGTTAGTATTTTATATTATTTGAGGGAGTGGCGCGCGGTCGGCAACAAACGCTTGTAGCGGTCCGTGTATGGTGGGTCCGGCAGCTCTAAGCAGTCGACCGCACGGCGGAACTCGACCGCAGAGCGACTGCTCCGACCGCTCAGAAACAGGTCGTGCAGTCCGTATATGGCGGATATGAATTAAGTATGGAAACTGCAGTTCGCCGTGCGGCGACCGCTTAGAGCAGTCGGTGTCGACTGCAACATGCGGGCCGTCTATGGCCACACTTACACGTAGAACACTACAGTGGGGAATATTGCCTTGAAATTCCCCCTATATAAGGAAAAAACATGAGAACTATCAGTAATTAAGATATAATAGTGTTAATCAGTTTGTAAATAGACTGTTTACTAATATAAACATCTTACCAAATGTCCATCAACCTTTATCTAGTGAAAGTATTCAGGGCGAGTTATCTTTCTTTATTAATGGAAGCGATAAACTTAACAATATGTACTGCGTAGATAGAATTGTTTTGTAATAAAATTGTTTAATATTTATTAATACAACGACAAATTAATTTAAGATATTACTTTCATCATGAAGACTTCTATAACTATTTTAACGAAGGTTATGGAGTCGAGAACGATAAGGGATAGTATACAGATATAGAATAAAATTACACGTTGAATTGAAAACATCCTCCCCTCAGTTTTTTGTAGACCGTTATAAAATCAAATTTGATTTTTTTTCTAATGCTTTTTTCTAATGTATTCTCGTCAACCTTCATATTCATAACTGACATGACATGGCTGGAGGCAGGAAAAGTTTACTCCGACTTACGTTACTGACGTAAAAATACACCCCTAAAAAGTTTATTGGTGTTTTGCGTTTACTACTTGTTCATAGTATACTTCTTAGAGAATATTAATTAAGTCACTTTTATGAAAAAATGTATCTAATTTAACAGTTCTAATTTAATGTAATGTGTTAAAACGGGACAATTAGCTTATTATATTACAGTTTTGACTACCTACCCCTTGTACAGCTTGTGCGAATTTGTGTTCGTTAAGTGGTCGTGATGCGTCAGAACTCATTATATCTTCAGCATACGGGAAGAGAAGGTCTCCAAAGAAATCTGTGGATTCTCTTGGGAGTTGTGTTGGCATATTGTCGATGGAGCATACTAGTACTCCAGGGCCTTTGAAACTGAAAAAAAATTTCATCAAGTATACCAAGTAAGAGAATAAGCTATTTATGTAAATGTTTAACAGGACTTCTATGGGAAGATTTAATATAACTTAAAATTTATGTCAATTACTTTAGTATCTTAAAATTTTGTTTTTTAATATTAATTTAATAGGAATTAACCTTTTTTAAATGATAATAACAAAATATACAAATTCTCATTTGCATCTCAATTTTCCTTAGCTAAAAGATTTTAGGTTTATTAATATAAACCTTTAATATTAAAAAACTACCCAAAAAAGAGAGTGAATTTGAAAAAATATTTCACATCCATTACCTCTTAGTATCTTTATTTCTGTCAGCATCATAAAGACAAAATGGTGTATCGATGGTGGTACATTCGTTCATAAATTCGATAGAGCCGCCTGGATCAGCCGATATGTCGCAGATGGCCAGCATTCTATCGTATAAAATTCAATCATTACTCCAACGTGATGCTGTATTGCTACTTTACAATGCAATATTATACAATGTAATATATAATTGAGCTTAATTGATAATCTCATAAGCGGCGAGTTTTCACATTTGCCGCCATTAGGCCTATAAATTTCATCCGTCCCTTCTAACCTCTGCGTTTCAATAATCTACCTTACAGTCATTAATTAAAATTTTGGCAATTATTTTTATCATGTTTGCTTTATCGTCAACATTACATCAGCTTTTTTCGTTATTAATATTATAGTGAACTAATCGTTGTGTAGTTACTAGGATATTCGTACAACTCTAACTCTTTTAGTGAAAACTTAAGAAATAGTCTTTGGGTATATTGCTGAGCTAAGAAAAGCTAATCAAGTACTGATGTTGTAACAAGTTATTTTTGTAAGGTAAAAATTTTGTTTTGCCGTCCTCGGTTCTCATCCTCCACATTAATGTAAGGTATTGACAAAACAACAGTCAAAGTAAGGATTAATAAGTAATAGTTTTTATAGTTAAAAAAGTATTAGACTAAATAATAAATAAACGGGACCTGTGGGGTAAAGCTGGTGCACCGACACTGGTTGGCAGCCATGGTGTATGTGAAGGGAGTAGAAGATGTTTAGCATCAGGTATCGTTAGCAGCTTTGGACTGTCCACAGCCCAGTAGATACAATTTACTAATACTGATGTGTATGGGGCAATCTATAAAAAACATTTTACAATACCATTACGATTAACTGGACGTTTAAATGCTTTTAAGCAATAATTAAGTTTTTACGGACTATTGTAAATGACAAATTCGCGCCGATAGATGGCGTTAAGTGGGCAACATTACAATAAACTATCGTGACAACTAGTTCAACTTTTCCCAACAGTTTCATCTATATTAATTTGTAGGTAGGATATTACTATTTAAAGCTACTGCTTTTATGATATTGTTTGAAAACGTTACTACAATTGTAATAGTAAAGAACAGCCTTGCGATTCTGTAACTCACTTTTCGCATTTGGCATTCTGATAAACAATAAACTACAAGGAGGGACCTTATCAGAATGCTAAATCATAAAATGACTGCTTTACGACTGATTTGAGCGCACCGCCGCTGTGAAAAACGCTGTGTGAGTTCGAAAAGTGAGTTACAGAATCGCAGGGCTGATAATAAAATCATTAATTTGAAATATTATTCTTACATTACTAACCTTGATTAATACTTCGCAATAGATTACAGGGTAAATAATAAAAATTGTTATCATTTATTCATAGATTAGATTATTAGGTACATCTTCAATAATATTATATCGATTATACACTAATTAATCCATTTTTCACGACGGAAAAACAGTAGATATTTAACAAAGGACCGATAATATGAATTTTGCAAAAAAAAATAATTTGCATTAATTATTATGTTTGCAAAATCAGTTTCCTCGATTGTCTTTTACCTTTTGTGCGAATGTAGAGATGTATCGTTCTGGATGTTCCTCGTATTCTTGAGGATCATAGCCACCTCCGTTCTTTCTTACCAAGTGGTGACGGCGTCTTACTTCACAGCCGTAAATTTTGTTCGGACCTACGCAAAAAACGTCCATTATGCATTATTTAAATATTTTTTAATTACACACTATACTTTATTTAGCGCTTCGCTGAGTAAAAACACAATTTAAATGACAGGCACGAATTATTAATTTTTTAGGTATTTTCTTTACATACTCAACTTGTTTATAACTATGTATTAAGTTATTTAGTTCTAAATAGTTCATAAAAATACTTATCAGGGTGCATGTTTGTTGCCTTCCTAACTTTATCTTATCAGTAGTTGCATAAATAATATTGGCGATTCATTGTCATATCCAAGGAGATCAATAATTGTAAAAATATTGACTTAGTAAACTTACTTCCATGCTCAGCGACCTTCCTCAACATTTCTGGTGGTACATATTCGTGTGGTAGCTCTTGAAAGATTTCTTGACTGCCCTAAAAACTTGTTTAATAAGCGAAAAGGTTTTTTTTGCTTTCTAAAGGTTACATCTTAGATTATTGCAGTATTTGGATCTATCCTAATACTAGGTTATTATCCTTCTAACTACCTAATAGACAATGTAATTAAAAAGCGTATACCGCAGCTTTTTAGCGAATTTTTTACCGACTTCAAAAAAACAACGAAGGAGGAAATTCTTAATTTGAGGTGTTATTTTTACTAAAAATAATTAAAACAATCATTCTTGGATAACAATAAAGCCAGAATGCATTAATCAAAGATAAATAGGATCGAATTTTTTTGGTTCTGTTACAGAAAATATAATAATGTATGTCTATAAAAGGTATCATTAATTCACTACACCCTCACCTGCGATACATTTCCTGACCCAGTAAAGACAAAAGTAAGAGGTCCCAGTGATTTGGGCATCATCCCTAAGGATACTTCATAGCCGGCGTCTCGGATGGCTTGACGAGCCATACTTGAGCTACGATAGTTGTGCGCTGGACCAACGTGCTACAGAATTCGAATGTTTTTTTAGAGCGGCTCATTATTGCTATTACAAAATGTATTTGCTAGTTTAATTAAAGAGATATTGAATTATCGCCGAATTTGCAAATAAGCTACACTGATAAGGAACAATATTATCATAGATAGTTAAAAAATGTTTTACGTATTTGTTCATCTACGATACCCGACATGATATCCTGAATGAACAACTACTTAATTCTTTTTAGGAAATAGTAAGACACTTTTTTAGACCTTGTCTATTTCTACGATCTTAGAATGCAATTCAGAAACAAGACTTAGCAGGAATTATGAGTCCCGTATGTCACAATCCAATACATTTTTGTCTTACGGGAGTCAGATTTAGTTTTAAGCCCGTTTCTGTATTTCTATCACCATACTCGCGAATTTCTTATTATGTAATTACTAACCATAAACGGCGTGTGGTGTCCTAAAGCGAGTAGTCTTAGTCCAAGTCCGTGTAAAATATTAATCATACCAGCAACCCCAGCATATTTGCCAAAAGCTACCACACGGTTTCCAGAGTCATCCATCAATTTCTCATAGTCTATTAAACGAATGTTCTGGGAAAAACGATAAATTTACGTAGGTAAATGCTTTTCTGTATGAATATTATATTTAACTCACGGCGGAACAAATCAATTTAAAGAGGAATTATATAATAGTGTAAATATTTGTTAAATATAATAGCTTCTTGTTATGTTAACTGTAGAATATTGACTAGGGTGAATCTATGTCTAATGGTAAAATAATATATTTGTTTACTAATAAATATATTTTTGTGTATTTATATATTTTATTCATACTTTACCTTTGCTAATATGGCATCTAGCATTGGCATATTAGCTTCCTGGGCCTTAATAGTATGTGAAAAGAAACAATATGTCTTATTCGGTATAAGAAGATCAACCGGAACTTGCTTTACGCCAAATATTACGCCTGCTTCGCTTATGTCTTCTTGAACTACAGCCCCAGCGTTTATGTAGGACTGAAAATATTTTTTTTTGTTAAGTAGGGGTATTAACCAAAGCCTCGTTTATACATACCATACAACACAGGTAATCCTGTATTGATATAAAAGTTGGGCGAATTCGCCCAGAATTCAGATGTCTGCGCTAACATCTTACTAAAATCAGTGTTACCAAGTGCATTAAAAATGGCTAGTATCACTGAAGCTAAGCTCAGACGATGAACCAAATAGAAAGAACGAAGCATATAAAGGAATAGTTATAATATAATGCATATATCATAGCAGTTTTACCTGCATAGGGTATGCTCTCCGGTTCGAGGGCTGAACAATAACTTTGACACCTTGTCGCACGAGCCGGCTGACGTTGGAGGGAGAAAATGGCGCTCGTCGCTCCCATACTGACTGGTCCTCTCTGCGTATTGCTATTACACGACGATGCTAATGAAAATGGTATGGTTTTCAACTCATTAAGACTTAACAATCCAATACAATTAATTTTTACTTACCTAATTAAAAGTTTGCTTAATAAAGCTTTAAACCAGGGTAGGGTAAACCTACCCCTCATTAAAATTTTGAACAACTCCCTAACATAAAAATATTTATGTTTATTGGGATTTAAGTTATACATTTTTTATACAAACTACTACTACGTTAACGTTTTGGTTGATGGCAAATCACAAAAATCTAAATAATGAGACTTTTTAGTCAGATTTCCTTGATATTACGTAAAATATTATCAAGGTATTTTATTTGAAATGTAAATGTAGGTTGCAAGTGCTTACAAACATTTTGACAAAAAAACCTTGGCAATTTAAAAAAATTACGGAGAGTTGATTGCCAGTTCTTCTCGTCCGTTCTCTCTCGTCCCTTGATTTGAGAACAGCCCTGCGATTCTGTAACTCACATTTCGAACTCACACAGCGGTTTTCGAATCGGCGGTCGCTAATAAACAATAAACTACATGCTCCCACCTTTTCAGAATGCCAAATCATAAAATGACTGCTTCACGACTGATTTCAGAGCGACCGCCGATGCGAAAATCGCTGTGTGAGTTACAGAATCGCAGGGCTGGCAATAGATGTGAATTTAGAACTACTATTTTTTTTTTACTAACGTTCATGAGTGTAGGTACATAACGTAACCAACATAAATAAATGAAATTTTTCGTAATTATTTAAACTGTGAAAAGTCCCGCATCTCATAAAATAGGGCTGTACTTTGAAATAGGTATAATTTAAATTATTTACATTGGTTCTTACTTGTTGTGTATAAAGAACTCAACACACCTTCGAGATACAGACCAAAGAAAATAATAAATATTGATAAAAGCTGATTAAAAAGTTGTTTCCATCGTAACGTCAGCTTATCTTCATTTTATGGAATTTTAATAATAGATATCGCTATATCTGGTGCAATTAAAATAATTACCAATATGAAAATATATCACATTAAAAACGTGCTAATTTCCTGCTTACATAAATATTGAAAAAAAATCTCTAAAAATATATTTCTTCGTATCTTGCTAAACGAACTGTTTGCAATATTTTGTGTTAATTTTGGTAAAGAGTATAATATTTATAAAACAGAGTTTAGTCAACAATATCTTCTTAAAAGTCTATCTAATACTGTTTTAGTTGTTTGGGTAGAATAAATTCCACCAGAAGGACGTTATTCCGGAAAAAACATTAATAAAATATTTTTACCCATGTATTTTAAATAAGTAAAGTAAATAAAATCTATATGATAGATTAAAGGTACCAATTGAGGATTAAATATCAAATTAAAAACCTGACTAATGTAATTGCAAATTGTTAGTAAAAATAAACATTTCCATGATTTTATCTTATTAAGTAAAAATAATTATTTTTTAAGGTAACTTATAAAAATTAATTAAATACGTAAAAATATTATACTTATTTGATGTTGATTTATAAAACATACCTTAGATGTAGAATAGTAAGCAATTCGCTTCAATAAATAATTATTTCCCCGAACGGGCGCTGCTTTGTAGAACATTATTTACAATCACATACAACAATTAAAGTTAAATGCAGATAAACTATAGAGACGACTGCTATGTAAGGAATACTTACGTATTAATAATAATCTATTTGTTACATTATATTACCCCGTACGTAATACCCCAACTCCAAGACAAGAAAACGAAAATACTATGACGTTGCATGGAGATAAGACGCCCTACATTTTTTATAATAATTTATTGGTATAAGTTCAAGGAAAATTAAATGAAACAAAAATATTAAACTCAACCGATTCTTATGAATTTTTTTATGCATATTCAGTGGGTCGGAGAATCGGCTACTATCTATCTTTCAAACCCCCTAATTGATAAGGGGTATACCAAAAAATTTTTTTCGTAGAATACATTTTTTGTTTTTATTTTTTATGATACAGCATACAAAAATACACAAAACCCCTAATTTTCATCCCTATACGATCAACCCCTATTTTTTTATTATTAAATATAGTTATTTTTATTTAACTAAAAAAATGTTTCCTAGAAATAATACAATATGTACATGGCCAAACAAACGTTTGCCGGGTCCGCTAGTAATTATATAATATTTCATAATTTTGTCACATTAATACCTATAAATATTTTCGTAATTGAAAGTCGAAAATAATATTCTTACTGCTGTACTAAATATTGTACTGAAATATTCCTATTACATGAAATATACGCAATTCAGTGGCGTTCTATAAGAATACTTCGTTCATATTTTTCTAGATCCTAAAGAAATAAATCCTAAATTGTAAAGGATATTTTTTTATAGAACAGGGGGCAAACGGGCAGGGGGTGCTCCTGATGTTAAGCGATACCGCCGCCCCTGGACACTTTTAATGCAAGAGGGCTTGCGAGTTCTTGAAGGACCCTAAGTCAAATTGAATCGAAAATACTTCAGTGGGTTCCACATAGTGGTGGTGCGTGGCAAAAACTGCCTGAAATAACGCTCTTTTGTGGAACGAGGGACGTCGAGGTGATACGTGTGGTATTGTCTCGATGTCTGCTGATGAAACTCAGCTTCTGGTATTAATACGAACAACTCCTCTGAACACTCTCCATGGTAAACACTGTAGTAGACACAGATTCACATCTCTACACAACGCTAACTGGAACGCTACGGGGACAAGCTGCTGGAAAAGTGACTGGTAATCGACAATTCAAATACGGCCAAGATTAAGGAGCAAGATTGGGACTGGGGCGTTCCCGTCCAGACTTGAGAATAGTACTGCATGTGAGGCGAATTTCCGCTTTATAAAGTTGCAAGCCATGTACCGTCTCGCCTTTTGGAGGCTAATTTAGCCTTTCCTTCCAAATGACCGCGAAACAGAACGTCGTTCGATATGTCTGCGCCCAGTATTCCGATACTGACTATGTCGTTGAGAGTTTCTTCAAAGAGAGGAATAGCGACAAATACGATAGCGTTTTTTGGCGGAAAACGCACAAACTGGTCTCTTCTTGGGGTTAAATTGGACTAGATTTAGTCAACCCCAGTCCGAGCAGTAGTAGCAGAGTTTCGACTTCAGGCACAAGTTTCTTACGGTGACAGGGTAAGGAGTATCCCCAGTCATCTAATGCACAGCAATGAATGTTGCTAAGTTGCAATATGTCATTGATATGTAGAAAAAAAGGGTCGGGGGTAGGACACAGCCTCGGGGGATCCCAGACTTCTGGTTTGAAGTCGGAACATGCTCCGTCAATGACGGTCACCTTTCAAATGGTGTGAGCTAGCGAGTTATCCTCCCTGTGCAGGGATGGAATGGCGGGCTGACAGAAATTCCCTCGGATAGCTTTGGCGAGAGGCCAGAAGACTCGAGCCCCCGAAAGGCAAAATGGCTCAAACAAATGTGCTCAGACTTTGCCCGAGCAATCTCCTGTTTCAAGGATCTTGTCGACACGAACTGTCATTCAAAGTCAAAGTCAAAGTCAAATCGTTTATTTCAATTAGACCATCTAAAATGGCACTTTTGAACGTCAAAAAAAAAATATAAAGATGATTCTAGTTGCCCCTTCCAAAAGGTAGTTTCGTGTGGAGAAGAATGGGCAAGAAACTCCACACTTACTCTTTTAAAATAGGTTTACAATATTTTGTTACATTTGTTAAATAATTATATGTGAAGACAATGTACTCTTAGAATAAACTACTATACTAAAAAAGTTAGTATACATGTTCCTCACATATTTACAAATATCGAAACCTTAGAATATTAACATTAAAGAGTAATAAAAATATTAAAAAAACACAACAAAACAGTGTGTGAGATACAAAAAAAAAAAAATTACATTTGTAGCATTATATAAATTAAAAAAAAATAATAATAACAAAAATATGTTAAAGCAAAAAATCAGCAACCAATTTGATTTTGTCCAGGCTATAGAGCCAATCATAGGATTGTCCTATGGAGCAGGACCAGCATGTTTCCAAGCATTCTTATCTTGAATATAATCATCTAATTTGTAATATGCTTGTTTACAAAGTGTACTTTTAATAAAACATTTAAATTTTCGTTCATTTAGTTTTAAAATGTCACAAGGTATTTTATTGTAACATTTCACACAGTACCCCATAAATGAATATTGAACTTTGGCTAATCAGAAAGATGGTTGAGCTATTTTATCTTGATTTCTAGTACTAAAATTATGTCTTTCATTTATTTTACTAAAAAGATGTAGATTCTTTCTTACATACATAATATTTTCATAAATGAATTGGCAAGGTACTGTCATAATATTAATCTTTTTAAATAGTTCCCTGAGAGATTCGCAACGACGTAGATTATAAATGGCTCTGACCGCTCTCTTTTGCAAAATAAAAATGGATTCTATGTCAGCAGCCCGACCCCACAGTAAAATGCCGTAAGACATTATGCTGTGAAAGTAGCTAAAATAGACCAAACGCGCAGTTTCTACATTGGTTAAATATCTTATCTTTCTAACCGCATAAACGGCTGAGCTCAGCCGCCCCGCAAGAGATGTGATATGAGGTCCCCATTGTAACTTCTCGTCTAGCGTGATGCCTAGGAAAACCGTTTGATTAATAAATTCCAGTTTTCCTTCATTCAACATTATGTCACATTCCCTACTTTTAACATTTGGCAACGTAAATCTAATACATTTAGTTTTTTTATTATTCAGTGCCAAATTGTTTACCGTAAACCAATTTTGGACCCGAAGAATAGAGTTATTCACGTCGTCACGATTTTGTGACCGTCGATCTACTTTAAAAATCAATGATGTGTCATCTGCAAATAACACCATCTTCGGTTTATTCTGAACTAATTGGGGTAAATCATTTATGTATACTAAAAAGAGGAATGGACCCAATATTGAACCTTGAGGAACGCCCATTGTAATTTCAGACCCTAACGAGTTTATGCCGTTAACCTGAACTTTAACCTGTCTGTTTTTCAAGTAAGATCTTAGTAAGTCCAGAGCTTTGTTCTTAATCCCGTAGTGATTAAGTTTCAGCAGAAGAGTCTCATGGTTTACGCAATCGAACGCCTTCGAAAGGTCGCAAAAGATTCCAATGGCATCTTGTGCTTCCTCCCAAGCGTTAAAAATGTTCTTGATTAGGGAGACACCGGCGTCAGTTGTACAACGCCCTTTGGTGAAACCGTACTGTTGTTCATGAAAGATGGAGTTTTTATTAAATATTACATCATTTTCATACATATTAAGTTTTCGACTTTCTACATACACTACTGTTAACGCATCTTGACTAAACCCCCTGGAGGCAGAGTTATATTATGCTTTTTAAGTTCGCCGGTATTCGCAACTCAAGATTTCGCCGCTTTCGGTGCGAGGCCGCCATTCAAGAACATTGAAACCAGGGCTGTGACTTACCTCCGATCCGCATCGCAGAAAATGGAGTAAAGAGTTCCATGTCCTGCAGATCAACATCGGCTTCAAAGTTAGCAACCGAATCTGCAGCATCCGACGACACGCATATAAACCCCAAGGGGAGGACGCAAAGAGAGACCGCATCCCCTCCCAATCTGCTGACCTATAGTGCCAAAACTCACTGTACAGCACCCAAAGTGGAGTGGTGGAGAGTGAGTAGTAGGCACAGTACTCCGGACCACGCAATGAACTGACGAACCCAAAGGAGGATCGACTAAGACTTGGTAGTTCTCTGGACATCTGGAATGGTCACACCATTCACATAGGGATATGCCCAGATATATGTTTACATTGTATGCATTTAGGTACTTGTAAGGTATCAAAAACTACTTTGAGATAAGTAAACTTCGACTAGAACAATATAATTGTTTTATATACTGTCAAGCAGCTCATTAATTAGAGGCGTTTATCTTTATCTTCGTTTTCATTAAAATTTAATCTGTTAGGGATATTTCTTTTGTAGTCTGTGACATATGGGCAGTGGGCTATAGAGTATACACATATAATTGTACACTATAGTATGCACTGTGCCATATGATAGTGGTAATAAAATGTTTGTTTTTTTTTAATTATTTTATTGTGATTCGCCAAAGCTATCGGTCATGTGTAATTTTTTATGTCTGAGCGGCGCCGTTTTAAATATTGAGAAAAATAAAATATGAATTATGTAGACAAAAACTAGATTGTTAACAACTCGTAACCTTTTTTGTGACTCGTACCTAGCATGAGATAACTTTTTTACTAAATTGCAATTTCTTTACAGTGTAATAATGGCACGTTTCCTGTCTCAGGATAAATTGGAAGGATTTGAAAAATACAAGGTAATTACACGATTAATATATAAAATGTATGCATACGATTTATTTATAATTATTTGTTAACATATTATTTATTTATAATATTAAATTTTCAGTATAATTCAATCGACACAAGTGTTCTCAGTAAATATGTTATGCACCCATTTTGGGATTGGTGTGTCCAGGTAAATATTATTTTTGATAAAAGGTACATGTTTAATACTGCATGAAAGTGATACATTTTATTGGTTACAGTTTTGCCCACGTTGGGTTGCACCAAACCTGCTAACATTTGCTGGATTCTTACTGACAGTATTAAACTTCCTGCTATTTTCTTACTTTGACTATGGATTTAATGCTCTGACAAAAAATAATAAAACAGATGATTATATTCCAAGCTGGGTTTGGGCCTTTTCAGCTATAAATTTATTTGTAGCATATACATTAGGTAAGATATATTTTATGTATTTTTCCATAGGGCTACAATTAAAAGGTCTCTTATTTTAATGTTTCTTTTCTTAAAAAGGTAAGTATATTTTTAGTATTCTGCATCTTAAAACAAATGGTCTTTTCTGCGGATTTTATGCTACTTTAATTAGTACTATATTTTATTTTTATGTGTTACTCTGATAAATTTCTTTATTATAACAAAAATCTGAACTATCAACTAGTAATTCAATAATTTAAAAAAAAACTACAAGTAGTAAGTAATAAGGAGAGCTAAAGACATCTATTATCAGATAACAAACCGGCCTTGCAGCTTGTATGTTTAAAAAGAAGCAAGTATAAGTAACCATTATCATTGACATAAGGTCATGTATTTACATAATCACAAATAAGTCTAAACCATGAGTCAATGTTAGAGAATTGTTTAAACAAATCATTAACTAAAAACTGCTTCATACTAATCAGATTATAAAGCATGGAGGTTTAACCTGTTTACCTTTTATGCTTTTATTATACAAGTTACAAACTACTTTTATATTATATATATGAATTATTATTGTAGTTGGTCATACTTACTAAACTTACTACTAATATGTAACAATATTTACAATCTAGATTATATAAACTAATTTGACTTTGAGATACTTTCATTTCCCCTTTTTGTATTTCAATGTAAATTACGTAGAGTATAGGTACAAGGCTTAAGTGTACGTTATTGTGTAATATCTCAACTATGAGTTGGACTCAGTACCTATAACGTGCAAATAGGTTGAGTCGAAAACATATTTGAATAGGAAGCCGACCGTTATAGCGCCGTTGGTGGTTACGCGCAAATCCAGAGTTAGTTAACAAATATTAGACAGAGTGAATGCATTGAAAACAACAACGTAAACGAGGTTCTTTTTCGTGGTTTTATGAAGTTTCATAACGTTTTATGAAGTTACTACCCAAAATCATTAAAGTAGTCCGCATTCTCATTGAATTTTAATATTCTCCTGTAGTGCGGTTTTTTATTAAGATAAATACTAATTATAACTTGATATAAAGGTAAGATTGCTCAGAGAAATATACCTTTAGACTTTAGAGTAGCTCGATTCATTCATTTCATTCGATGAACAGTTTGTAAGATAACGGAACTGCGTTAGGCTTTACTATTGCCCTTTGTTATCTCAAGTTACGGTGTCGTCTCGATAAATTATCAATACCCATAGTGTGTTTTGTTAACAGATTCATTAACTACTTATTGTTTCTTATCCGTATCCTTTGAATTTTTTATACTGTAACCTCAATTATCAAACGATGCGCATACGAACTTTACATACTTTTTGGGTACCATAAATGCCGAGTGTGATATTATATAATGTAATCGATAACAAAAAAATAATCTTCGTACCTTTCCAGCTAATAACAATTAACTTATATTATTAACGATTATAAAAAATCTCATAATGTATGCTATTAAATAATTTCCACGAATGTAATTAAGCTGAGGTTAGGCCGGTTCAAGGACTAACAAAACTGGTCTTGAATAAGTGTATTATAATTTCTACTTTATACTTAAGAATACATATTTCAGATGGTATAGATGGCAAGCAGGCCCGTCGGACGGGCACAAGCGGGCCTCTCGGCGAATTATTTGATCATGGACTGGACTCTTACTCCGCTGTTCTTATACCCACATGTCTTTACAGCATATTTGGAAGGTAATCTTCCAAGGTTCAAAATTACCTCTTAAATAGTTAGTTGAACATTGTAATTAATTTTAACTACGTTTTTAGAATACTGTTGTAACATTAGTTACCGCGCTCTCTTCTATCTTTGGCTATCAAAATTTTTTTTTGCATTTCAAATAAACCGTGTGTTGTTTTAAAGTCATAATTAGTGTATTGTTGTAATAAAAGATATGAACAGTTTACTAATAGTATCAATATGTCTGATTCCAGGGATGAGTTGAGCCCACTGCGGTTTTTCTTCGTTATATGGAACATCTTCATTAATTTCTACCTCACTCATTGGGAGAAATATAATACTGGTATCATGTTCCTCCCATGGGGCTATGATTTTACTATGATTGTAAGTTAACATTTTCACCAATTATAAAGGTGCAACCTTAATACTATAACATTTTTCAAATTGTTATGCTCCTGATATTTTAGAAAAAGCAATTTTATATTCAAGCAACAATAATTTTAATTTGCGTTCACTTACTAATAACAGATAAAAAATACGGAAATATGACATTATCCTTGATTTAAGAGAATTCTCTAAACGTCGATTTATGTAATATATGAAACAAATTTGGTGTTTATGTTCAAGGAGGAATTGAATTTTTGTGTTGGTTAGTTCATTTATTCGCTAACATCATGATACATCTAAATTTACATCATTTAAACATTTTACACGTGTTAATACAGGGTTCATGTATTCTCCTACTCGTTACATCCGTAATTGGGCCTCAGGCATGGCACGTGGGCCTCCCAGGCGGACTCACTCCAGGCATCATTTTTGAAGTCACACTTTACCTCTCCGCCATGCTCACAAGCCAGACTGTTATACTGTGGAATATATATAAGTAGGATTTTTTCTTTATTCGATTCTAAAAAGCTTTAACTGTATTCAAAAAATATTAGCGCTGGTTTTATATAAAAACCTTTTCTATAAAAAATAAAAATTCTAACTTCTGAAACATAATTTCTCCAAAATCCCATCGAAATATTCTGATGGGACGACGTGCTAATTATAATTTTAAATACATTTTTCCAATTGATCCAGACGTTTTTAGGTATGTTGTGTATCATGTATGTGTATGTTTTTTACGTATAACTTATTTATCTAGTAATCGTTTAGTAGAAAAATAATATTTTATGATAAAACAAAACTAATTAATCATACGACTGACAATTCATAAAAAAAGTCGTCTGTACGACGACCGCCTAGAAAATTTAGTATAATAACAAAATAGGATGGATATTTTTTGAATTCAGTAATAAACAATTGAAAACAACGTGCTTTAACAACACATTTTTCTATTAGGTCATACAGAGATAAAACCGGCAAAATGCGGTCCTTTACTGAAACGATTCGGCCATTGATTCCACTAGCTGTGTTCTTCGTGCTTAGCAGCATCTGGGCTCTCTACTCACCATCAGATATAATAAACCGAGGCCCAAGGCTCTTCTATGTGCTCACTGGAACTATATTCTCAAATATCAATGTAAGTTATATAGAATACTTACTAAGATAAAATTTAATCAAAATGCTTAGTATGACTGGTATGTCAATGCCGTTTTGACAAAGGGGAGTCACAAGTACCGAAGTCTCGTTAAAGAGTTAATTTTAAGCCATTTCATAAATAAATCGTTTATACATAATTGTAATTTAGCGCTAAGTACGACTTCCGTTTGACAAAGATAATAAGTTTTTGACATATATGGGAGTCAGGATAGCGCGATACATGTTTTTCCCTACTGTTTTTACTTTATGTGGAACATTGAGGCATAGTTAACCTAAACCTCTAACAGATGAATTATTGTATAAATTATATATTGTATTTTTCCAGTGTCGTCTAATCGTATCACAAATGAGCGATACACGTTGTGATATATTCAACAGTCTTCTAGTGCCATATGCGTTGGTAATGGCCGTTGTATTCTACTGGAGGGTTTCGCCCATGAGCGAACTTATACTTCTCAGCTCCTTATGTATGGCGTGCTCATGGGCACATATCAACTATGGTACTAAAGTGGTAAGTGGGACATCACATTTATTATCTCACTGGAAGGGAACCTAGGACCCTCCGGTTTTGACACTAATCTAGTCTTAAATATTAAAGTCGAATATTTTTCTAACATAGTATCAATCATGCATATCTTATAAATGCAAAAGTTTGTGGTGGATATTTATCACTTAACCACGCAAAAACAGCTGCCCTGATCTGGATGAAATTTGGGAGACAGTTTAAGGGTAGAAAAACAAAGAGATGCAAATCAGTTTTCGGAGATACATTTGAAGCGACTTAGTCGCAGCAAGCAAGTACACAATAATGTTTAATACATTATTAAAAAAAACTATTTATTTATAGGTAACTAACTTGTCCAAAAGAAAAGCATTAAATTATATGATTAATTATTTGCATGTAAATTATATAATTATATTATTAATTGTATTACTCTTAAAATAGGTTCTAGTCATAAAGTTCTGCATAACAACTAGGTATGATTTTTTTTCCAGGTACGAGAAATGTGCGATCACTTCAAAATAGCATGTTTCCACATAAAGCCAAAGAATTAATATGTGATGTTTATCTTGTCTTGTCGTAGATTAGTAGGCACATTTTTAGATCTGTCTTTGATCTTATATTTTTGATGTCAATGATTCTTATTATGGTCAATAATTTGTATTGAATTCAGAGAAAAGACTATCTAAATTGCTTTTATTTATAATTGCCGTCCCAGATGGCATTGATCATACAATTTTTTGTGTATGATTTAGTAATCTATATCAGGCACTATCACTATTATTCATAAAAACTCAATCATCAGCGGTATTGCACAATTTTTACTGAAGTTTCTTTTGTTTCTTACTGTCAAATTGTATTTGGGGCATGATGTAAAGAAAGAACAGCGCTTATATTAAAACAGTGTAATTATACTGATTTAGTTTTTATGAAGAATTGGGTATGTAACTCTTTGTTCCTTATATTGGAAATACTATCTTAATTGCTTTTATTTATAATAGATCTGGGATAGATGGTAGTGTCATTGTTATAAGAATATCACAAAAACAGGTTCTCTAAATATTTGATTTAAATTATTGATCAAAGTTACAAACTGATGTTTCATATCCTATATTGTTATATACTTTGGAGATTTTGGTAATTCAAATTATAGTGTTATATAATTTATATGTTATTCCAAAGATAGTTAAGGTTTAATATGCATTTTGGGGATTCCTATTTTATAATAAGCAATGGTAGATATACCTCTAGTTAATAATAATTTAATTATATACTTAAAAACTTACGGCAAATGTTTTGGTGAGATGGAAATTGTTATTTCAACAACATAATATATATCATCAAAAAAATTGAGTTCCTCTAAAACATGTAAAATATTTCGTTTTATGTTTTTAACCTGGGAATTTATTTAAGTAAGTCACAAAGACGTCATGACAGCTACTAGTATTTTAGTTTTAGTAAATATTATTGTTTCAACTATATCATTTTTACAAGCTTCTGAATTCTGATGATTGAAAGAAGCATTTATATAAAAGACATGCATATAGCAAACAATCAAGTAATATTATCATCTAGTCTGTGGTTGCCAATCAAAATTGTATTAAAGTGGTAAATAAGGTAGTGTGTAATTTAAGCTTTTACAAATTTTGCCAGATTTTTATTTAATTTTAAATGGTGTGAGTAAATTTACCAATATTATCTTAATTGTATATTTTATAGTTGGTGTAAAGCCGGGTATCCACTATGTTCGCGAACCTCTTGCGCTCCGCGCTCCCGTATCCCCTCTGATGGAGACGGTAACGCGTATCTCCATAGCTCCACAGTCCTCTTGTCCACGAACAGACTGAGCTCCCCTTTGTGTTCGCCCAATTTACCGCCACCCATTGGACCGCTGAGCGCGGAGCGCGCACAGTTCACGCTCCACGTTCGCAAACGTATCCACTACGCGGAGCTGTTTCAAGTGCGCGGAGCGCAAGAGGTTCGCGAACATAGTGGATACCCGGCTTTAGTTCACCATCTCTACATGAGTTAAAAGTAATGAACATATTGCCAGGTAAGTTATTTGAGTTGCAAGTACTGTGTAATATTTTAGATTTAATTGGGAAGAATGTGTATATTTTTCTATTTGTTTGTGCTCAACATACTGTACCTGTTATTTTAAGTTAATTTTTCATTGTAACTAATATTCTTTTAAAAACATGCTCGTCAAATATTGTTTTAATTATGTAGACCTCTTGTTATTATATAACATGTATTTATATGAAAAATATTGTTTTATTTCCAATCATAAATTCTTGTTGGAGTATATTTTATTTTAAAATAATACACATGATTATAATCAACAAGTTTAATTAAATTAACACATGGAACTTATAGTTTCATTTATTTCATCTCCTAAAGACAATAGTTTCCTCCACTGATCAGGCTGTAGGGAAATGCCTTTTTTTCCAGGTAATAACTCACCATTTTTTTCATAAAACTCTCGTATATCAACATAAACTTTTCCTTTAAATTCTCTAACTTTTACTAGTTTTTTGCCTTGTAAAACCCAAGTTGGCTCCTTGTCATCTGTTTTAGTACTTATTTTGGCTTTTTTTTCCGGAGGAGGATTTCTCTGTAAAATACCATCTAGTGATAAAATTCATTGACTTAAGTTCCATATTCTTTTTAAATTGTATACATTTGACGGTAATTTAAAAATCTAGGTTACCGGGAAGCCAATTTAATAAGAACCAGACTAAACGAAACCACTGTATAATTCCTGTTAAATTTAATAGCTATAACTATCTTAAATACGATTATTGCTATAAGAACGTGGAATATAAATTAACAAGATACTTACGTCGACTGGTCCGTCATCGCTGTCGCTGCTTGAACTTTCTTTCTTTTGTTTCTTATTTTTAGGCATTGCAATTTATTTACCTACTTGAATTGTCTAATAAGTAATATTAGCGATAATGCTTATATTTCAAATACTTTTAACTAATAAAAAAATACCTAACCTTATTCTTATAGTTTAGGGCCGATAACCGATTACGATACCACAGACTCGAGACTACATAGTACATTTATTAGCGAGAGTTCAGATAATAGAGGACTGAAAATACGTACAAAAATCGTGTATATTACAGTAGTCTGTAGTCGATACCTTATAGTTTTGTGACTTTTCTCCTCGGTGATTTTAACGATGAATGCAGTGTTACCAACTCTACCAACTTTTAGATAGATCTACCAACTTTTTAGGTAAATGTAGCAACTTGTGGGTAGATCTACCAACTTTTAGGATTTTTCTCAAATCTACTACCTTATAAAGAAAATCTACCAACTTTTTGTTTATAAAAATTTTTAATTTATTTTTTTAATTTTTATATTGTTTAATTTTCTTTTATGCACACAATAAGTTAAAACAGCGCGCTTTTGCGTTCTTGACAGTTGAAATATATCGATATACATCAGCCAATAAGAAAACACGGCTTATTTATTGCGAGTTTCGACTAATGACTACCTTCAAGACTCTTATGAACTTACTATGTATTTTGATATGTAAAGCGCAGCGTTGAATGTTATTAAATAAAGTATTTTAGTACTATTGTTCTATCTATTAACATTAAAAAATAAAATGATTAGTAATGAAAGTGAAAATGAAGAAAATTCTTCCCACAAAAATTGAGGAAAATTCATTATGTTCAAAAATATTCAAAATTCTGGGAAAAAGAACCAGAATATGCAGGTTGGATTAAGCATTTCAGTTTCCGGCCCCCATTGTCAAGTAAATTATGTTAGATTGATCTCTTCAATCCATAACATGCTTTGATTTTTTTATGAATATTGTCGATTTTTTAGTTAATATTCCTTTTTTTTACTATAAGTGATTACTTTTTTACGAAAAAAAAATGAATTAAAGGATTTTATATAAAACTCGAAATTATAGTTGGTAGATCTAGCTACTTTTCGAATTGAAGATGGTTGGAAACTACCAACTTTTGAAATTGTATCTACCTACTCGATAAAATTCGAGTTGGTAACACTGGATGAATGTTAATCTGTTGACTAATGTTATTTTTGTTTACTAATGTTTCGCTCGTTAGCGTTAGACCCTAGTTTGACTTTAATATAGAGTAAATGAATGAATCAACAAATAAACGTGTACGCTCCAGCAATTGGGATGATTATGATAAAGTAAATCAATTATAGTTGCAGTTCATCATAAAATTGCATTCTAACTGATGCAACCGTTTCCCATTGTATACATGTCACTTTAATAGCATCACAAATTTTTGTTACATGTAGGAGGTCCTTCGAACCTTGGCGCTGCAGCGGGCTGAAATATTGGAAAATAAAGACACTACAACTAAAGTTAATGCTGCTAAAAAAAAGGCATGGGAGGAGGTTGTGACTAGGTGTGTGTGATTCTCTTCACACATTTTTTTAAAATTGATATTCATAATGTGGAGCTTTTAATTTTTTTATAGTTTCAACAGAGTTTCACGTAATAAAAGAGATTTGCCCCAAATTCTAAATCAATGGAGGAACATGAAAACTAGGGCTAAAAGTATGTCTAATGAGAGAAGAGATAGTAGTTCAACTAGTAATGAGTTTATTTTACCAGAAGTGGAATTGGTAAGTATAAGGCGGACATTATATTACAAATCTTGGCAAAACCTTATTTTATAAAAATGTTTAGATTTCAATTTCTTCAAAGAGGAAGTAAAGGTAAATAAGACAAGTAAATTTTTTCTATGAATATTTCTGTGATACGAGTTTGAATGTGAATTTGATTTTAAATAGATAATGTTTAATGTTATATTATATTATTAAATTATATCTTGATAATGCTAATTTTATTATTAGATTGTCGAACCAGAGGCCTCAACTGTACGGGAAGTATTTTCAGCAGGTACCTCTAAAAAAGCTAAAAAGAAAAATAAGTAAGTTTGATATGTATATCTACGTGTAGTGTAAAATAGTATTATTTATTGTTCTTGCTTTCCTTGCTATTATAAGACACAATACATAATTAGAATTAATGTACGTTTTCCTATATTTTTTAGTTTGAAATCAAATTGCTGTAATCAAGACCATGAACATGATATATATCTCCTTGCAAAGAAAAGCAGAGAAGAAGTCATGTGGCAACAGAGGCAACTGCATGAAACCAGAATGCAGCAAGAGAAGGAGATTCATGAAAAAAGGATTGACTTAATGAGACTAGAGGAAGAATATTGGCGATTAAAAATGAAACGTATTTATGAAACATAGTTAAAATAATTTTTATAACAATTGTTGTGACTAATATCAATTGATGACTGCAACTTGACTTGATGTGATGAAATAGAAGAAGAAATCTGTTTTGATAAACAAAGCCTGTGTGTCAGGAATGTCAGGTTTAGCTTTATATATCTTTGCAATTTATTTAATATTTAATATTTCACTTTATTTAATTTTTCAGTTAGTATTTTTATAAGATTTCTAACAATAAACAATAATATTTTGTGAATGTACATCAGATCTTGAGGACATTGTGGATAAAATGTTTTTAATTTAATTAAAACTGGAAAGTGTTGTGAACTTGTGAAAAATTACTTGAATTTAACAACAATATCACAGTTACAAGGTTTGTTTCATGTTTACATCCTACTTGTATTTTTCCTATGATATCTGACTGCATTTTTATTGAACCATATTTCCTATAATCTAGCTGGTGCAAAAACCAGACGTGTGTATATTTACAGTCAAAATTTTTATTTACTTAGGCCTTAAAATCTAACTGCCAGCCCCAGCACCTCAGAATATATGTGTAAAATTTTGTAGCAGAACTTGAGGTTTTAGGGTAGTATGGCCATAATGGAAAAACATCCAGAGAGCATTTACGGATAAGTCAGTATCTTATGTTTAATCTGTGAGGGAAAGAAATCTGTGGAGAAGTCTTGTATTATTATTATTTATTATACAATATTTGTTTCATAACGTAAAATATTAATTAGTCTTCCTTTCTACAGTTCAATTACAATTTTTTCGAAAGTGACTAACATATTTTAGTTGATAGTACCTAAAAGTAAAAACTTCTCAAAAGTTAAGGTACGTGTGAGATCCACCATTTATGTTTCGCGTTTTGTGTAGTAAGGCTGCCTATATCAAAATTAAATTTTATTTGTTTATTGAAGTGAAACTTTATCGGGGTTGGAAAAAAATTTAGTGTAACATTTTTTCGTTACGCGTCACATTTTTCGGTTACGCGCCGTGTTGCTTTTTGATGTCAATTGTCAAACTTTTTTATCGGCGTTGGAATGAAACTTCTTTATCGACGTATGGGAGAAATTTTGTAGCAAATCATCACGTTTTTCAATGATAGTAATAATTCTATTACAATTAATGAAATTCTATAATAATCTTCGTAGTGATAAGGTAAAATGAAATATTTGTATTCATGTCTATGATAATAAAGCCTTTTGTTAAACTTTATCTAATTTAACGAATTTCTGTAAAGTTGCATATAGTAGATCATTTTTCGAAAAATAAGATCTTATTTCTTAGTTTCACTTCTTACGTGTGTACACCTAGTACACGCACAATCTTTTTTATTGTTTTTATTTATTAATCGGTGAGAATTATTACACAAAATTTTAAATAATTTTTTTCAATACTTAGACGCAACTCCGGCAGCAAAAATCACTTGGAGGTGTTCGAATCAAGGTCCCCCGAGACACCTACATCATCAGTATCATCAAATTCGGGCGACGTGATTCTAAATCTAACCCCGTACCTATCGCGTTTTTTACACTCAGTAGCAAAATGGATTCTGACGAGGAAACATTACTGCTGGCTTTGTTACTCCCGAAAGCAGATACAACGAAGAATATGGTAGGATTCATTATCAAGCAATCGACTGGGAGACTACTATGCGAGTAATGAGTATGTATGTAGTATGCGAGTGTACAAAATGGAGTCTACGCCGCGACGGCGCAGCCGGCAGGCGGCAGCGTCGCTTTCAAATCGCCAGTGTGATAAGGCCCTTAGCTTGTGAACAGTCAGGAGGTGGCTTTTGGCTACCAATATCAGGAGTTACCGCCCAGCCCGGGACACTAAATTACTCCGTGAGCACCGTGTTGCTCGACTTTAGAACGTAAATATACTGAGGTGCCCGATTTTCTTGCATAAGAGTTTGTTGGAATTTTGCGTTTCGCCAGTCTCCAGAACCAGGAGGCGATAGCCCATCTCTAGACAAGAGCAAATAATGAGCAATTAATGAATGATAAAGTTTATTAGCTCGAAGTCATTGAAATGCATGGATGATGTACAAAAATCATGTATGGCGGAATAGTTTTATTCATTAAATACATATGGTGCGTTCCACTAAGCGCTCACGACGATCAAAATGCTCCTTTAGCCATTCCACATACCGACCGCGGTCGTTGTGGTCACGGCGAAAACGTCACTCATGACGTCATGACTAATGCTCACGCAACGCTCACAACGACCCATCTAAAGAGGTGGGTCGTTGTGAACGTTGAGAATAATTTGGCGCAATTTTTGAATTTTTTTTTTTGAAATATGACAAATAATAATATTATTATATTCAAAGCTTAAAGATTATTTGATTCAGAAAGAGAAATTGTAAAGCTATTTCGATTATATTTAAACTTAGTTGTTTGATAACTTCACCAAAATTATTTATAAAATATTCAATTATTCTTCACTTTTAACATAAATAAATTTAAGTCACAAATATCAAAACTTATTGTTTATGATTACCTAACCTCCTTAAAATTCTACTATTTTCAAACTTGACATTTGTAATATTTACATGAACGCCCGAAACGCTCCATAATCCATTCCACTTGAGTTAACGACAGTAACATTCACAATCAAGTGGAATGGGTAAATCAGCGGTCGTGAGCGTGATCGTCGTGAGCGCTTAGTGGAACGCACCAATAGAAGACAACCGTTAACTGTTAAGTTGATTATTGACTCACTGCAACGATACCACAGAATTATATATTGTTTGCAACTGTTTACTATTTTATTTGACGTAAGAAATTTTGTCAATTTTAATTGACGTTTTAGTAAAATATAAAACTTCTATAGCCTTTACCATTAGCCAATAGTGTAACGATACATTACCGAGTGTTTTAATTTTTCTATTCTCATGTTTGTAATAATAAATAAGTGCTTCTCCAACTGCGACACCATTCCGATGGGCATAATATTATAAACCAGAAACTTATTCCAAGAACTGTATGAATCAAGATGATAATACTGCATGATAGCAAAATTATTGATGTTTAACATGAAACTCTTCCAGTTTGTAATAGTTACAATTTTGTACAACGTTATTCCCATTTTATCTAAAAGTAACCCTCAATCATTACTGAAACCAAATACTTCATCCGAACAAAAAGGATGGATTATACAACTCGATATTTATTTTCCGAAAACTCGTCCATCACTTGTTAGAAAGCGTCCAGGAAATGATGCTCGGTTAAAGTGTGAAGCTATCTTAAACTTTACTAAAGTTGAGAAATTCACTAAGAATAAAGGTGGAATTGAAACTTCATCAAAAGAACTACCAGTCCATATTGTTGAAACGCTAATGAAGAATGTGAAGGTATATTGGTTGAAAGACTATAACAGAACATTAGCTGAGAGTACCAGGATCAACATTTTGACTGAAGTTGACAACACCAATGGTACTATTGGAACAGTTCTCAAAATAATTAATTTACATCCTTCTGATAGTGGAAATTACACTTGTGTTATTAAACAGAATTATGAAAAAAAGTTCACATCTAGGCTAATTGTTGAAAATGATTCTACTGAGAATTATGAACATTCAAAAGAAGATAACTCTTTTGAATTTTCTTATGATGATGATAACAAGTATATCGCTGATATTAAAACAACACCAAAATTAGTGTCTGAAGGTATGATTATAGGAGAGGATACTCCCAACAATAATTCCTCTGTTATAAAATACTTAGAGCCAATTTGTCAAGAGTATGTTGGAATAGTCTGCAAGTCTCATTTAAGTGGACAGTTTGTTTATATACCATATAATACAACCCAAGCTGTTTTAGAAGAAAAGTTACTTAAAGCATTTCAAGTAACAAAATATTCCAATGATATCAGTTCTCAGTGTGAGCAGTATGCAGTGCCAAGTCTTTGCTACTCCACATTTCCAATTTGCAGGGACCCCATGTCTACAAATAAGAAATTTTTTAATGAAGCTAAGAAAATTTTTAAGCTACAATCTGATTCTGAAATAAATAATAACAGCATACCAAAAGTTATATACTATGATAGTTTATCAAATGGATTTCAACCTCAATTAGCAAATAATATTAATGTACCAATAGATATGTTCAACTTCAGATACAACTCCACAGTATTAAAACGAGTATGTAAACAAGATTGTGAAATATTAGAAACAGAACTTTGTCAGACTGAATATGCTATTGCTAAGAGACATCCGCACATTGGCAAACAATTAACTTTAGAAGAATGTCAAGATCTGCCTGAAGACGATCCTGGATGTTTAAAAATTGGTATTGGTACTTTAATTGTATCAGATGATGAGTGCTATTGGGAAGATGGGAGTGGGTATTTGGGTCGAGTTAATGTGGCTTTAAATGGTATGCCTTGTGTGGCCTGGTCTAAACAAATGATAGTTAAAATGTCAGACCATCCTGAATTAGCTGGTCGTCACAGTTATTGCAGAAATCCCGGCGGGGTAAAATCCCAACCCTGGTGTGTTGTAGATAATGATGGAAAATTTGAACAATTATGTGACATTCCAAAATGTGCTCATAAAATTTGGATATACATACTAGCAATTTTCTTTTTTTTAATTATGATTATTTCTGGTTCTGTTGGATGTGTCATGAAACGTAAAAAGAAAGAAAGTGCTTCTACTATAAGAGACATTAATTTACCAAATGCAGATAAAAATATTTATGGTGATTCAAGACTTAATTCTCCTATAGAAATGAATGAGTTATTAACAAATCAGAACAATGGTAGCCAGCCACATTTGACAAGAAATGTTAGGGGCAATGGTGTAATCAGAGTTCCACAATACTCTTTATCACAAATTAAATTTCTTGAGGAGTTGGGTGAGGGAGCTTTTGGTAAAGTCTATAAAGGTGCTCTTAAAAAGAATGGAGATACACAGTATGTGGCTGTTAAAGCACTCAAAGAAAATGCTTCTGCTAAAACAAAAGCAGATTTTCGAAGAGAAATTGACCTTATTTCAGAGTTGACTCATGAAAACATAGTTTGTATTGTTGGAGTTGCTTTAAGAGAGGAGCCTTTATGTATGTTATTTGAATTCATGGCCCGGGGTGACTTGCATGAGTTTCTAATGGGTCGAGCTCCTCCATCTGGTAAAGGGCTGCCACCAATAAGATTACTGAATATAGCTTATAACATTGCATCCGGTATGCAATATCTTGCTTCCCATCACTATGTTCATAGAGATCTGGCAGCAAGAAATTGCTTAGTGTCTGATGATTTTGTTGTTAAAATCTCAGACTTTGGATTATCTAGAGATATTTACAGTTCAGATTATTACAGAGTAAGTCTTTATTCTACAGAAATATATATTAAATTACTAGGATAATCATTTATAAATGTTTACAGGTGCAATCTAAAAGTTTACTTCCTGTCAGGTGGATGCCGCCCGAATCAATTCTGTATGGCAAATTTACAACAGAAAGTGATATTTGGTCATATGGAGTTGTTTTATGGGAGATTTATAGTTATGGATTACAACCATATTATGGGTATGTAACATAGTGGCATGTAATTTGATAGTTCATTTGCATGCTTGTTTAGGTACCTATCTTATTTGTAAAACTTGTTTCATAAATCACTTACTTTATACTAGAATTTATACTTCTAAGTTGCAATTGCTTTATTTAAAGAATGATATTTTTTTTTTATATTTAACTTTTTTTGTTATACAGATACAGCAATCAAGAAGTAATCTCCATGGTACGAGGTGGTGAATTATTAGCTCCACCAACTGCTTGTCCGCAACTTATGTATACTCTAATGACTGAATGTTGGCGACATGTCCCGTTAAGACGACCCAACTTTGAAGAAATCGTAAATAGGTTAGTCCCTGTTTTTATAGTTCAGACCTGAATTCGTTCGAAAGTACTATTCAGTTTCACGTGGCCGTACTTTAGATGGCAGAATGCGACGTTACCATTGGCATTTGTTCTCTAAAGAAAGACAAAGATAATAAATATAATGTATATTACAGAACTTGGTTAAAGGTCATATGCCTCTGGGTCAAATCAATCAACAATGTTAGACTAATAAGCATGAGATTACTAGCTTGTGTTCAAATACAGTTAATAAATACTATATTTCCATTTGAAAATTATGTGCATCAAATCCATGTGAAAAGTTATTAATCATAAAGGTTGTAGTTTCTATTGCTCATCACATTACAGTTAGTAAGTAAAAAATGCAATTCGAACATTTATATTTTGCTTGGTTGACTGATCGAGTTGATTATGTCTACCCACATTTTTGTTCCTGTTTTGTTTTGTTATTTTATATAAGTACGTACATCTGTGCGCTCTAATTTTTAATCATAGTTTTACAAATTGTTTCTCAGTAAGTGAATTATGTATGCAATTCTTATGAGAAATAAAGTTATTCCTTAACCTATGTTCCGCGAATGTTGCTGGCTTCTGGCCTTTACACGCTTATTTGTTCACTCGAATATAAATTGGCGACTATTGATTAACGTGCATATAACACGGTTGCGATGAATGAGCTCAATTCACTCTTTAATTATCTATATAAAAGTGTTAAAGGCTTACGATTTACTGAAGTGTGTCCCACAAAATCACAATTCATTTATTATTTATATGCTTTTTATATTCTTAAGATTTGTCTTGATTGGTAGGATTCAAGAGTGGATACAAATGGGAGGGTGTCCAGAGACAGACAGCGCTTGTAGTTATAAGCCAAGTTCAAGCCGAGACTTGCCTGAGAAAGTGCCTCTTATACCACCTCATTGCTCATCTTCAAATGGATCTTTGGCCACAGGCAGTTTAAAGAAATTCAGCACAGCAGGGAGTTCAAGGGGGGACGATAATTTCTCAACTTGCAGTGAAGTACCTCCTCTTGCTCCTAAGACTAAGAAACACAGTTCTGGTTCTCTCATTGACACTGATAAAGTTGGTAAGGAAACAATTGTTAGAATACCTAACTCCCATTTTGGAAACGAGATATAGTTCAGTGTTGAGTAACACAACCTATTTATTTGGAATTGTTGGAATATTATTATTAGACTTTGATACTCATAATGTTGTATGTTATTTGTTTGATCTTCAAACAAATATCTTATTTAATTTGATTTTATGAATATCACACAGTAATGCGTGTGATTTTAATTTTCTGTATTTGTACCAATAAAATTTTCAGGAATATTCGTACATGTGCGATTTACATAGTATACAAATCATTTGATGTCTCGTGAGTAATAATGTACTTAATATTAACGGCATGTATGTACTTTTGTATTAAAACAATAGGGGAAAATAATAATGAGTGAGTAAGGTAAAGTATTCGAAAATCCTGTTTGTTCGTTTTCTTTATAGTAATAATATAATGAGCCAGGTTTTGACTTAGATTTAAGAAAATTATAACATTTTTAAGTACTCGCTAGATTAGTATTAGAAAACGCCTTTTATTTATTGTATAGATTTTAGAATTTTGGTTACATTATTTTTTTTGTACTTCAACGTCTCTAAAATAATTCAGAAGCGCTTCGAAGGACCAAAAGTTAGCATTGAAACAGCTATGATATTGAGTAGGATACTTGCTAATATTCTGATGTAGGAGTAATTATTAAACATTACAAATAATTGAAATACTGTCATTGAAATTATTTACATTGTCATTTTAAAAGTTCTATTCCAGTCCCACAGGTTATCAATATTTGTTCTAAATATCCCACTGATACAGCCATACTTAACTGCATTTTTGGTATATTACATTTGGTATATACAGTATTACGTACTATATTAGTACAAACGAGTAGTTTGCAAATATGTATTTGCAAAAAACTTCTGCTTAATTTATATTAAATTTAAATGTACACATAAACTACTTCTTTTAGTGTTGAGAGTACCTGCGTTTTTAATTTTATTTAAGATTGCACATAATCGTCAAAGCATTAGTAAAAAAAATTCTTTAGAATTTGTTAAGTTTTTCCGCCTAGCTGTAAGAATAGTGACTTATTATTTTTCGACTGAATTACGGCCGGTTTTTAATACTATAACCAAAATTAAGTAGCACTTAGCGTACTTAACTTTGATTAATGTTCGAATAATCGGAAATAGTGTACCTAAGATGTCCTTAATAGTGTTCAGTTAATTTTTTCGTTTTGTATACTGACATGCTTTGTAAAAAGCACATTGCACATTATATCTCTGTATTAAAACTGAAGCTTTACAAATATTTGTTGGCACTTAATTTCACTTATTCATCAGTTAACTGTATTACTAATAATAAACTCTGAATTCTATGCAATTGGTTTAAAAGAACTGATGAAGCACTGCCAAATCCGTATTTTTTAATCGGCTCAAATTAAACTTGCCAGGTTATTTAAGTAACTAGTATCTATTCTTCCAAATTTTAGTTTAGGTTTGTGATTTTTGTCTTCTAAACCATTCTCTAGGCAAAGTTGATGTAAGCGAAGGAACAACTATATTTTTTTAAATACTAGTGTACCTTACTAATAAACTATATTTATTATACATAGGTATAATAGTTATAGTTAATTTAGTGCTTATAAATTAACGTGTGAATATTTGTGGGATTTCCACAGTTTTCTATTATTTATATTGATGTTTACTACCTGTACACATTCAGTACTTGCCAAAGACATTTTTGTATGTGATAAATTTAATTTTTTACACAGGTGTAAACTGTATTAATGGCGAATTAAAACAATTTATACAAATATTCCATTCTTTTATTTACTTTCCTCATATAATCATGTAAAAGAAAATGAATTTGATTCTTTTGCAATTTGTCCGTCTTGGTTTTTTTTGACAATCAAGTTTGTAATACCGTGAACTTTCATATGCACTTTGAGGTTATAGTTACCAGTGAAGCCTTTTTGACAGATTTTACACACAAACGGTTTCTCACCTAAAATAAAATTTAGTAATATATAGTTTAATAGTTCTTTATTACTCGGATACTGCTAATTACAAAAGGCCGACGAGGCTCTTCAGTTTTTCATGTCCATAAGTTTTGTCATCAGAACGTAAAAATAAATTGACGAAAGAGTACTTGAATGAATGATTGTTTGTTTTAGTCGTTTTGTTTATTCTTATCGTTTAAGTTTTTTATGCAATGAAAAGTAAAATAATAAAAGGTTTGGTGTATGTCTATACCTCAATACCTACCTGTGTGCGTACGTCTATGCTTAATGAGAACTGGACCACTGCGAAATGTCATCGGACAGTATTCGCATTTAAGCCGTCGTAAACCATCATGAGAATCAATATGGACACGAAGTGCAGTTCGGGATTTATATGCGGCGGGACAACGGTCGCATTTAAATTTTCGATCCGTAGTGTGGCTGTGTATATGTCTTTGCAGCTGTAAATAATTTTTATTGTTAAAATGTGCAAATTATATTTACAATTTTTAATTTAAAACTGGTATTTAAGATTACAGCAGTGTGGGCCTAATGGTTTCAACGTGCGACTGTCGTCGTAGGTCTGAACTAAGTCTCCAACTGTCGACTAACAGAAAGCCTTCTGTCAATGTGCCTATTTAACTCTCACTTGTACGGTGAGAGAAAACGTGAGGAAATGCCTTAGACCTCAAAAGTCAAAAGTTTCAAAACATAAAATGAACACATACAGACGTCTAAGGGCAATCTAAACGGTGGGCACTTGCTTTTTTTATTTAAGATTAGTGTTAACAAAAGAAAACTTCAGTTTAAAAAGATGGACTTTTATGTATGACCAGTAGAAAATAAAATCTCACTCTTTTAATGCCGGATTTCCCGCAAATGGGGCAAATATCGTCGCCATCCCGCGGTTTACATTTGTGTTTTTCAAAGTGTTCTTGAGTTGGGAAAGCTTTCGAGCAAATTTTACAAATTACCTTTCCTATTGTATGTCTATTAATAATATGCACCTAAAAATATATTATAATTTATAATATCAGTGCGTTAGTATATATAGAATTAATAAATTAAAATATTCGTAATTATAACATTATAATTAATAATTATCAATTGTTTTTAGTGAAATACGCAGATATACTATTAAATAAAGTTATATCATGAGGTACATACCCGAAGAGAGGACCGAAAGTTAGTTGAAAATTCACATTTCTTGCATTTCCATTGCCGTCTATTTAAATGCATATTAATGTGTAAAATTAATCTATATTTGCTGTTGTATCTAAAAAAAGAGATAAAATATATTTTTGTCTGAATAAAAGTATTTAATATCCCAATGAAAACAATTTTAACCCAATAAAAATCCCTTATACAACATATAGATGTAACATAAATAGATACTTACATTTTTTTACAGAAATCACAAATCATTATTTCTCTTGTATCACTATGAGCATTCAACAGATGTCTTGTCAAGTTTTTTGGATTACGAAATTCGCGTTTGCATTGTTTACATTCAATATTGGTATTCTGGAAAAAACTATATATGACTAATGGGTTCCTATTGTTGTGTTAATACTCTTTTTCCAGTAATCAGTACATGCAGTGTACTTTGAAATCATTTAACTTTAGATAGACTGTCTTAATGCAATTGTATACAGTTAAACACCAAGAATTTAATAAAAAAACAATCAAATCTTTGAAATACAAAATAAACAAAATTACTTACAGCTTCATTAGAATGGTATTTCTTATAATGGTATTCAAGGTAATGTTCTTTATGGAACTTTTTATGACACATATAACAGTTTCTTTCATCGCTGGGTAAATGTATTATTCTATGTGCTAAAGTTTGATATTGGTTTGTAAATTTTTTATTGCATATAGAGCAGTTATTGTTAATTTTATGCATATCTAAATGATTTTTAAGTGCTAAATCATGCTTAAAACTTTCTAAGCATAAACCTGAAAATAAGTGTATTTTGAAATTACTCATTAAAAGTAAATTTAATAACAAACTGTCAATCTAAAAAATATTATCTGTGAAGTTTGAAAACTTGCAAAGTGCCAAAGGCATTGATTTTTTTGTAAAATTATTACAACTATAAAACACCGTAAATAATAATTATATACCTTATTTAAGGGTTTTATACACTTGAAAATTATGTGAGTCTAAATACATATGTGTGGTTTGACCTGAACATAAAGATATTTTTTTTCTTTATTTTTATACTTTGAAAAATATTTTTTACCACAACTATATCCTTTTGTATTACATTTGACTTTGCATTTGGTTGTTTGCTCGGTTTGCTTTGCTGCCTTGGTATTGTACTTTATTGAATGCTGTTGTTTAACAGTCTTGAATGTTCTTGGTCTTGTATACTGCGAGTTTTGATCTTAAAAAAAATTAAAGTAGTAAATTAATTATTTACAAAGAAGTAACCATGAAAAATATTAATCTACAATGCCATAAAACTAGTGATTCTTATTATCTTCTTCTCTGATTCTTAACTCTATGCTTTCCATTAAATACTTTAAGAAATAGATTTTACAAACAAAGTTACACTCATGTTAACCTTAGCATACATTCTTAATTTTATTTTAGTGTGAGAGATAAACTTTCAGTACTTTTCTTTTCTTTAGAATGTAGCCAGCATTCCTGCTTCAAGTATTCAAATGTAACATAGTTTTAATAGAAAATAAAAGTTTAGTATAAATTTCCTGATATAAACACAATAATATTTATTATCATCAGAAACCACAAATTGACCTAGAAGACAATTTCTTAAAATCATACCATCAACTGTTTCTTCTTTGTACACTTCATCATTTTGTCCTAATCCAGTGTAGTCATCATAGTTTGCTTTGTCTCCATCATAATCCAAATTCTCCTGCTTGACATCATTAATTATATCCAATTCACTTTTCACCTTAAATAGAGCCTTTTATATTTTGACATAAAGAATGTTGCTCTTGGTAAGTGATCAAGACTGAATATCTTGGAGCTTATGAGTCATAATAATTTAAAATTGTAAAAGCATTTCATGTCAATGATAAAATGTAGCCACAATGCTTGTCATGGATAATATGGTAAAATTTAGAGGGAAGAACAGACTCCCATGTGTCAAGGACTTGTATGTAATGTTTGTAACATATGGGACTTCTACTTAATTTTGCAAAATTAAATATAGGGTTGCCTGGAAGAAATCGCTTGTTAGCGATAAGGCCGCCCGTTGCCTTATAACTTTTGTAACCTGTGTTTTATTTTTGTTATTTGTATGTTTTTGATTAAGGTAATAAAGTATAAATAAAATAAATATTTGCAGTTATTTACCTTACAAATTAAGTTATTTCGTAGGCTAAAATCAACAGAAATGCACCTAACACGGAATTCCATAAAGTGATGAATTATATTATTACATGTTTCACACAAATGTTGTGTCAATCCATCATCTATATGTACCTGGAAAAACAATTGTACTACAGTAATTAAACAAAATTAAAATGATAACAATTTTCAATTCAATGGAGAATCTCATAGTAGGTTTACTTAATTTGTATTTAGCCCAAAAATTTAATGGTACTGTATACAGTACATATAAGTATAAATGTAAGTATAATAAGCAGTATACTTACATTTAAATTGGTAAGAAGATTAAAGTATAGCATTATGTTGTCATCAAATAAAACCCACTCTGCAGTTGCTGAACTATCTAAATTACATGCTCTACAAACTACCATTTTGCTTTGTTTTTAACATACATGTAAGATATTTATGAATTAAACGTGTGATGGTACAAATGTAATACTTTCTGTTTCTAGATCATTAATATTTTTGTCGAATCTAGTATTTACATTTCACAAACTCCCACTTCTCACTGACTCCAGTCAAATGCAATATATGTCACAGTGACAACTGACAAAGTATTTTTTTTTGTTTTGTGATTTTTTTTTTATGGCCCGCACGGTTTGTGCATTGTGGCCCAGGGTCAAAAACAGGGAAACGGGTAAAAACATAAAATTATCGGCTGGAAAGGAATTTAGGAATAGAAAGTAATTAATCTACAAAATAAAAGATCAATTCTTATAAATCTACATAAAAAAGGAGTGTAAGAAAACATATTTACATATATTTACGTTCATATTGTCTAAATTTTTATATTATTACTTAAGATAAAAGCTGCTAAAAGTTTATATACATGTGGGTCCAATGTTGAAAGTAAACATGATATGGATGAAGGGAAAGGAATTTGAAGGGAAATGAGACCTTCGAGAAGAGCCGACCGGTCGCATCGAGGACAAACAAACATGATTTGATTTAAATCACCTACATCATATCCGCAATCGTAGGGCTGTCATTAATATTTAACTTAGTAAGATGAGCTGGGGTGCAGACGTGTCCCAGTTGCATACGAGACAGTACTGTTGCAACTTTTTTACCGAATCTCAGTCTCCAAAACCAGGGCTTACTGGGTATAGAAGGTTGAATAGTACGATAATGGCGACCTTTAGAACTATCTTGAGCCCAGGATTCAGTCCAGGAATTCCTGAGATAAATCCCTGAAAGAGACATCAAGTCATGCGCATAGTTTATAAAAATGTCTACATCTCCACTCTCCACCGCCTCATTGGCTAAACGATCGGCTTTCTCGTTTCCAGATATTCCACAGTGACCAGGAACCCATGCAAACGATACGGAATAGTTTTCTTTTAGACATTTTAATAGCAGGTTTCTAATTTCGGAAATGACAGGGAATTGATAATGTGAGCCAAATGGGAACCGAGCTAGGGCATTTAAAGAACTCAGTGAATCTGTGAAAATTACAGTTTTTTTAAGTTTTAGTAGAAGGATGTATTCTATGGCTTTAACAAGGCCAATACATTCGCCAGTGAACACGAAGGATTTAGGAGGGAGTTTAGTTTTTTGAACAATATTGTAATTAGAGTGCAGTACACCAACACTTACACATCCATCTTTGGAACGCTTAGATGCATCTGTAATAATATTCGATGCCATTGTGGCCACTTGGTCTTGCTCAATTTTCACAAGACCTGTGCTAGTATGTATATCAGGAGAGATTACAAGAGAATCAAAACTATATTTGAACAATGGATTAGAAGTCGCTTGGTGAGTAGGAGCCTCAAAAGAAGTAAATCTTATGTAACTTTCAACCAAACATGGTGGGCGTTTGTTTTTCCAATAACTACAATTGGGGATTAAAGATGCCAGGCAAGTCAGTTTAGGTGTTAGAATATGGTTACTGAATTGGACACAACGGAATAGGATTTTATCAGACAGAAATTGCCGTCGTAAGCTTAATGGAGGCTCTACACACTCGACTCTCATACAGTTGATTGGACTTGACTTCATAGCTCCTAGGACTATTCTCATTGCTTTAGCCTGAATACTACCTATCCATTTTTTTAAAACCAGAAATATTTCCTGGTTCCAACAGGAAAGTACCGTAATCCATTACACTTCTGATTATGGCGTTGTAAATCAGTTTTAAGGAGTGTGAATGCGCTCCCCACCAGATGCCCGATAAGCATCTAAGAATATTCAAATTACGTTCACATCTTGCAGTTACATATTCACAATGGGCTACACCAGTAAGCTTGGAATCTAGAACTACTCCTAAGAATTTGACGTCATTAGTCGTAGGAATCAAAACACTATTGAACTTTACCTGGACCGGGGAAGGCCTACGCATTCTGGAAAACAACACAACCCTACTCTTGGATACAGATAAGTCTAAACCATTCGAATTTAGCCATGATTTTAAAAATGAAAGGGAAGATGTTAGAGTTTGGCAAGTATTTTCAATAGATTTTCCCGATTTGTATATAAGAAGATCGTCTGCATATTGTAGTACGTTTGCTGATGCCTGCAATGATGTTTCTAAATTATATGTATAGACGTTATAGAGTAAAGGACTGAGCACAGAACCCTGTGGTTGTTTTGTGATTAACTACAGATAGTTTTTTTTTAAATATTATGGCAATAGTTTTCACTTTATGCCAGTTTCAAGTAAAAGGATGGGAAACTACACGCGAGAAAAAATAAACAAATACATCAAAAGGAAATAAAGGGATAAGCTGGTTAAAAACAAAATATGTACATAAACATATTACATCTTAATATTATTATAGATTATGAAAGAAGATAATACATTATAATACAATAAAGGATAAAGCAAAAGGCAGGAGATTTTAGTCGGAAACGGAACATGAAGTGATTGTAAGGAATTCAGAAAGGAGGTACGGTCATAATTGGATCAAGATTACAGATAGTTTCGATAAACACAAATCGTGCCTCTAGCTAGGAATCCAATCTGTTGTCTATCATAAGACAATTGTCAACAATTGTCATAACTTTTTATTCATCAAATAATGTTTAAATTTATGCTAGAATATTTTTGCTGTTTCTAAATATATTTCAATAGGTCGCTTATTTCATAAATAATATTTAGTATAATATCAATAGTTTTAATTAACTTTTGGATTTATAATTTTATAATGCGTAAAAATGATTTTGATTATGAATGATATTGTTTGAGTGTTTTTATCACTTGCTTTGAATAACTACTTGCGTTTTGAAACGAACTATTTGTGATTGAAACATGGTGGAAAACGGGGGTTCTAGTGGTGGAAGTGAAAGCCCTAATGCCACTTGTGTACGATCAGGATTGCTGGAGACGCTTGTTCGGGGTGTATGGTATCGCGTCCATTGCTCTCTTGAAGATGACTATTTAAGTGTTTGTTTAGATGATGGATACGACGCAACTACTACGCTTAATGGTACCTTAAATAATAACAATGTGGAAACTCCAAACAGTGATTTTACAGAGGTACCAGAAGCAATAGCAAACCAAAAAAGAGTTGTACAAGTGGTCAAATCTGATAACAATGGTCTTGGTATATCAATAAAAGGAGGAATTGAGAATAATATGCCTATACTCATATCAAAAATCTTTAAGGGTATGGCAGCAGATCTTACAGAACAGTTATATGTAGGTGATGCTATTTTATCAGTTAATGGTGAAGACTTAAAAGATGCAACTCATGAAGAAGCAGTAAAAGCACTTAAAAGAGCTGGAAAAATGGTTCAATTGGAAGGTATGGATATCATCCTTTAGTTAACTCTGAGTTTTGCAGAGCTATTATAATATGTAATATTGTAAATGAGAGTATAGCTAGAGATAGTAGGTACAATTTGCTGGTTAATACTATAGAATAGATACTTAGATAAATAGCCACAAAAATTAATTAGTATATTTTATTAATAGCACAAGTAAATTTATAAATTACTGTCTAGGTAAAAATGTATTACAGAGACTGGATTTTAAAATGAATGAGATAATATAGCAATAATAATCTCTTTTGCTATTTATAAAAATTAACCTCTATTAACCAACTATTTCTTAAGTGGCTCACTAATTTGACCTTTAACTATGTTAATTGTGTAGATGAAGACACCATTACTATTATAACATGTACATGTTTCATAGCTTTAAAGCATAATATATGTTGAAGCTACTATAAAATATATGTTGTATTGTATTATATTTATTTATATTATATACCATATTGACTTTATAATAATTTGTAGTACATTGGAACACAAATTAAGTTGAAGATATATTAAACACAGAGACAGATAGAGACTATACATATTTAAATTGCATTCTTATTCTTAAAAATAATTAATGACAATTAAGTTCTTTTATATATATAAACTAAAATTTTCAGTCAAATATCTACGTGAGGTGACTCCTTATTTTCGCAAGGCCTCAATCATCAGTGAGGTTGGTTGGGAATTACAGCGTGGCTACATGATGGAAGCACCACCATCGCCACCTTCGCCTCGACGCAGACGCGCCGATACTCGATATGTACCGCTGTTAATGGCCTGCGTTGCTAAGAACCTTCGTCATCACGATCCTGGTAATATTTCATATTATGTCTAGTTTTTGACACCACAATTCAATGTGTTACTCTAACATCTAATCCATAACAGTAAATTAGGCTCGTCTTTTGAAGTGTATTCCTAGTAATGTGTTAGTAACAATCATCAGTGAATATAACAATACTAAATAAGCTTAACCATTGATATTTATTAAATATAAATGTAAATATAGGGGTATGTTATAAAATTCAAATAAAATCCGAAGCAAAAAATCTTTCCATTTCCATTTAGGTTTTGGTTAAATGTTTAAGTATAATTGTGAGCATTAAATAGTATTAATATATAGTATCTAACTAATAATAGATAAACTAAAAAAACACTAACATGGGATTTTGCTGAATACTTGCTGGGGTAGAGTTTTGAAAATGCTAACAGTAAGATTTTTTGCATATATATATAGCATAAATGATTGTAATGTATATTATGTTGTGGCCGGTTAAAAGAATTGATGAGTGTTTAACGGTTATAAAGTAAACATGTCCGCTTCATAATAATATCATTAATTATTAGGGATCAAATCATAAAATTGACATTATTCGCCTTTAGCGGTGGTGTAGTTTTGTAGTTTTGTTTTGTTGACACATAGATGTGTTTATTACAGAGGAGCGTACTATCGAGATTTATTCCCCGGATGGCGTTCACGCGTTAGCATTACGAGCAACTTGTAGTAACACAGCTTCAGGCTGGCATCGGTCGCTTCACGCGGCGGCAAGAAGGGCTTGCCGGGCTGCTTTGGCCCGTGCTAGGCCAAGACTACGACCTTTGATTGGAGATGTGAGATACGCCGGCTGGCTGGCCAGAAGACCGCCTCAAGACGTAAGTGTTAACACACGGTGTTAAGGTTGGATGTCTGACATTCTTTGTTACTCGTCTTGACCCAGTCAAGCGGGGCGGAACATATCTACGTAACAGATATAAGATTATTCAAGAAAATAAACGTATTTAACGGTAAAAAAATGCGAATTTATTACATTATTATTTATAATAACAATTATAAAAATGTATGTTTCCAGGGCTTTTCGTATTAAATAATTTTATTTACTATATTTAATTACTGCGCTAAATACGTAGTACATTCTTGCTTATAAAGATATATAGTTGAAGAAGAACTAAGAACTATAATTTTTGCTTGTCTAGTAAATGTGAATTAAAATGTATAGATTGGTGCGTCAGCGGGGTCGGATGAGTCAGATGAAGCTGAAGGATGGCAGCCGACTTTCGTCGCCATTACGGATCGTGAACTAAGGTTAGTTAAATGATTTCAGTTTAACAATGCAAACAAATAGCTAGATCACTTAGAAGAACGTGTTAATTGTCTTCTAGAAACCTATCTCTTATTAGTGCGTTACTGGCATTTAAAAAGCGATTGTTTTTTATTATTTTTGACTGCATGTTTTGAAGATACCCAAAAAATGTTAAGATGTACCTAATAAATTTTTGAGAAATTAGAAATTCGAAGATAGTTTAAATAGATTTAGTACATAACATCTAGTTCTAATAATAACAGCTTAATACGTATTAGTGAAAAGGGTACGCAATTAAATACAAGTGTAAAAAAATAAATCATTAAATGAATAAAAAAATGATGATGAAATACAGGTTTAAAAAAGTTTTTAACTCAAATAACAAACAAACCACTTGTTGGTGCGGTGAGTTAAATTTTTTACAAAAATGCTCGTGCAGTAAAATAGGTCTTTTAGATGATGCATAGTTTATTATAAAATATTTCATACACTAAAGCACTCTGACTAAAGGCATAATAATAAATAATAAATAATAATAAAGCCTTTATTTCGTTCCATACCATTTACATTACATGCTAATACAACTAAACTAAAAATTTTGTGTTAATGTGGTTAGTAATACAGTATATGTAATATTATTTAGTAATTTAATATTGAAATAAATGTTAGTATTATTAGTACCATATTTTATTTTCCTAGGTATGGATCCCTATCTTGGGTATAGGCCTCCTCTAGCCGCTTCCAGTCCTCTCTGTCCTGACCCCTGATCATCCATTCTTTTCCGGCAACATGGACAATGTCATCGACCCAGCGTTTCTGAGGCCTGCCAACTCTCCTTTTTCCCCTTGGACCTAGCCATTTAGTAGCTGTAAGTGTCCATCTATCATCTTTCAAGCGAGATATATGTCCTGCCCATTTCCATTTTAGCTTCAGTGCATGCTTTAAGGCAGTGGTTCCCAACCTTTTTAATATTGTTACCCCTGTGAACTATGTATAAAACTGATTTTACCCCACTTTCAAAATGATTTCAAAACAAACAATACAAGTAAATACAAACATCTTTATTGATCATAAATTGCACAACAGTCTTACAATTTTAACGTATTCATACGTATAAACTATGGATTACTAATACTCAGTTACATTTACTAGTAGTGACTACTACTCCTACCTAACATAAAAAACTAGTGAATGTTGGCTCAGTGTGAAGGTTGGTATTGTTTTGCATTAACAAGTTTTTTAATGTTAGTTTCACTTAAAGCGCATCTCAAGTCATGTTCCACATTGAGACGATTTCTGGCCTTTGTTTTCAGTGTTACTAAAGTAGAAAACCCACTCTCACACCTGTAGGTGGTGGCAAATGGTATTAGCATTTTTAAAGCTCTGTTAGATAAAACAGGATACTCGGCACCTGTTTTGATCCAAAATGTGCTGAGATCATAATTCTGAAATTCTACTTTCAAAGTACTATTCTCGCGTAATCCAAGAAATTCCACTTTTGCCGCCACATCCTCGTCTCGAATAATATCATCATCAGTAGAAAACGTTGCGTTGGTAAAGTTCCAATTTACGCACAAAACTAGCAACTTTATCCTGCGCTGTTAAAATATTTGTCATATTTCCTTGCAATGAGAGATTAAGACCGTTAATTTCACTGAAAAAATCAGCAAGATACGCCAGCATTTCAACGAATATTTTATCTTTTATTTTTGAGAAAAACTCTTTCTCTTTTTGTGTTCTCTGTTTTTCCAAAAATAATCCTATTTCTTCACGAAGCTCGTACACCCTGTTCAAAACTTTTCCTCGAGATAACCAACGTACCTCTGTGTGGTACAAAAGAGAATTAAATTTTGCACCAACTTCATCGCATAAAACTTTGAAGATCCTCGAGTTTGTAGCACTGCCACGAATATGGTTTACAATTTTCACTACGTCATTCAACGTGCTAAGCAAATCTGGTGGAAGCGTCTTAACGGCCAAAGCGTAGCGGTGTATTAGACAATGATAAGGTAAAATTTGGGGAGCAACTTGTTTCACAAGTGCTTGAAATCCAGAACGAACACCCATCATGGAAGGCGCCCCATCTGTACAAACGCCAACCAGCTTTGACCAGTCCAGTCCGTTATCCTCAATAAATTGTTTTAGCGATTGAAATACGTCTTCGCCACGTGTAGTGGTGGGCAAAGACTTGCAAAACAGGTATTCCTCTTTTACATGGTCATTTTTGATATAACGAGTAAATAACAGCAATTGTGAACACGAAGCTACATCCGTAGACTCATCTAATTGCAGCGCAAACATATCACTTTCTTTAATTTCATCAATAACGGTTGCCAAAATATCGTTACTCATGTCTGAAATGCGTTTTTGAACTGTTGTGTTTGAGAGTGATATTTGTTTTATCTTAGCCACATGTTGTTCGCCAATAACGAGCGATACTGCATCACACAAACAAGGTTTGGTAAGATCCTCTCCAATAGTATGCGGTTTTTTGTTCATAGCAATACGATAAGAAATTCGAAATGAAGCTTCAAGACACGACTCGTTTGGCTTTTGCATATTTCCTGTGGAATCCATTCGCGAAGATTTCAGAACGCTCTCTTTTCTCTTAAAAAATTGTAAATCTTTACCTATAAACTCTTTGTGAACTTTCTCGAAATGTTCTTTTAATTTACTCGGTTTCATGCTCTCTGGATTAAGCACTTTATTACATAAAACACACTGAGGCTTTTCTATATTTCTGTCCACAATATTCGTAAAACCCCATTGTAGAAATGCTTCTTTATATGAGCGCTTTTTTCCGGATGTAGAAGCCATGACAACTAAAACAATCATAAAAAATGTTACAGATAATAGAGAAGTACATTAACGTAAAGATACCACGTACCATTCGTACGTACCTACGTACCAGCATCATTGTCACAAAACATACACAAACGTAAAACAAAAGTAAGTGGTTTAGAGCCCGATAAATAGTAATAAAATATAATTGATAAAAATAGCATTGTTTGTTGGTACTTACCTTCAAACACAGATTAGAATTAGGTATTTTGTTTCCTACGTAGGTAGGTATGCAATGCGAAACAATCGAAACGCGTTCGTCCACTCAAGCTCAAACACTGCTACTACACTACAAGGCACGCGAAGCAAGCGGAGGTGGCGGCGCGGGCGCGGGCGCCCCCTCCCTCACCGCCCGCTTGCATCATGGCGAACCGACGAACGAGTGCTAGAACGAGCACATTTTTGTCACGTGCGGTACTGCGCAGCGCTCTGTAACTTTTATGTTTTTTTTTCTTTCTGATAATTAGGTTCTTTGTTACCCCCGTGAAATAGCTGATTTACCCCTGTGGGGGTAATTACCCCCAGGTTAGGAACCCATGCTTTAAGGCATCTGTAACTCTAGTTCTTTCTCTTATTGTTTCGTGTCTGATTTTGTGTATCCTTTTTAATTTTAGCATACTGCGCTCCATTGCTCTCTGACATGACCTTACTTTACTTTTGGTTTTGTTATCATGCATATGTTAGGCATGGTAGTAGGCAAGTGTCCATTACAATCTTTTTGTATTCTGAACTGTAATTTCCTTTCAAAATCTCCTTATGTGACCAGTACCTGTTCCAGGTAATGTTTATTCTCCTGCAAATTTCCTTGTCGTTGTTGGTGGTGTCAAACGATACCTGCTTTCCTAGATAGATATATGACTCTACATACTCTATTATTTTGTCATTTACTTTTATAGGTTTGTGCAGGCTATTTGACATGATTTTAGTTTTGTTGGGGTTCATGCTCAGACCTACTTTTTTACTTTCCACATCCAGGATTTGCAGCATTTTTTCCAGCTCTGATGCAGTTTCACTAAAAACAGCTATGTCATCTGCGAATCTGAGATGTGTTAGGTGCTGATTTATTAACGGTATGCCCCTGCTTCCCCAATCAATATTTTGAAAGACACTTTCTAGGACTGCTATAAATAGTTTTGGGGACAGAGGATCACCCTGTCTTACGCCCCGTCTAATGGGAAACTCTGCACCTTTCGTTTCTAGTTTTATTCTACTTGTGCTTTTAGAATATAGGTCTTTAATGATTTGTATATATCTATCTTCCACTTTATTTTTTTCCAATGTCTGCCATATAGATGTGTGTGTTGTGCTGTCGAACGCTTTGGAATAGTCCACAAAAGCTATATAGAGTGGTCTCTTGAATTCCTTATATTTCTCTATAAGTTGTTCTAAAGCATGGATGTGGTCCACAGTTGAGAAACCTGAACGAAATCCTGCCTGCTCCATTGGTTGGTTGTTATCAATTGTTGTTGTTATTCGACTAAGTAGGACTGATGAGAATAGCTTATAGATGGTAGGTATCAAACTAATTGGTCTATAGTTACCAATATCCAACGGGTTTCCTTTTTGTATAGTAACACAATGTCTGAGTGGCACCACTGTGTAGGGACATAGCCTTGTTCCAGCACTAAGTTAAATAATTTTGCTATGATACTAGTTAGTATTGGTGCTCCGATTTTTATGGCCTCATTAGTTATATAGTCAGGTCCTGGACTTTTGTCAGGTTTTAGTTTGCTAATATATTTATGTACGTCTTGTTCATCAATGGCTTGTAGTATTTCCTCCGAATTCTTGGTGGTTGGGCCAACTGCTCTGTCATCCTGATGTTCGTAGAGGTTTCTATAGAATTCAGTAGCACACTCCATGATTCCTTTTCTAGTTTTCATTTCTCTGTGTCCATTTTCTAGTTTTGTTATCCAATTTTTGTGTGTGTTTAGCTCCTTAAGCCCCCTCTTCGTACTTCGATATTGCTTTAGGTTTTTTCTAAAATATGTTTTCTGTGGTTTTTATAATCTTTTCTTATGGCTTTATTTGTTGCTTTGAATAAATTCTTAAGTTTGATCTTATCTTCCTTGTTTTTAATTTTTTGTTTGATTAAAATTGAGCGTTCATTTATTAGTTTTTGAGTAGATTTGCTAATTATTTTATTTGTTTTGTGGTCTTTATCTATTTTTAGGCTTTGTTTAATTATTAATTCTAGGGCGTCATAGTAAGTTTGAACATCATTATTATTATATATCTCTTTAAGGCGGGTATTAATATTATCACTTAGGTTCTTCAAATACTCTGATTTTTCATTGTCGGTTTCAGGAGATTTTGGTAACATTACAAATTTCTTTCTTGATAAAGTTGGTGTTGTCAGTATTACAGAGGCTCTGACTAATCGATGGTCAGATGGAAAATCTATTTTATTTATAATTTCTATGTTTTTTATGCACTTGGGGTGATTACTCATTATAAAATCTATTTCATTTTTTGTTTGTCCATTAGGCGAAATCCAGGTCCATCTACGACTAAGTTTTTTCTTAAAGTAAGTGTTCATTATACAGAGCTTGTGTTCAAAGGCATATTGGATTAGTCTTTCACCTCTCTGGTTACGCTTGCCATAACCATAATTGCCTAGTATAAGTTTTTCTTTATGTTTGGGTTGACCAATTTTAGCATTGAAATCTCCTAAAATCAATACATTTTTGTCAGGTGTTTCATGGGCTTTTTCAAGTTCTTCATAGAATTTATTGATTTCAATTTCATCTGCTTCTTCGGTTGGTGCGTAGACTTGGATGAGTGATATGCAGTGTTCTCCAAATTTCATGCGCAGCAGGGCTACCCGTTCAGATATACCAGTGAACTCGATAATATTGGCTTTGTGTTTTCGACTGATAAGAAACCCAACTCCATATAATCCAGGTGTGTTTCCCATGTAACATAGGATGTGTTCATGATGTTCTTCTATATTAGATCCCATTTTTCTGACTTCTGCTAATCCTAATACATCTATTTGAATATTTTTCAATGAGTGCACAAGTTCTATCAATTTTTCTGTTGATGCTAAAGTTCTCACATTGTAAGTTCCAATTTTCAACACTCTTGTTTGTTTTTTGTTTGTTGCTAGAGGGTTTTGGTCTGATTCCCCACGGGGACCAGCCGGATTGGGGAATGTTTTTCTAAATGTTTTACTTATATTTTTATGTTCTTTGTTTATCCGGCTGTCGAGTTCCTATGTTTGTTTTGATGTGAGGGTAGGGGTGGTGAGAGAGTTACTTCTTCCTCGCATCATGTCAAAGGCGTTTGACCTGCTTGCTTTTGTTGTTGCTGTAGGTTGCAAATTGCTCTTTTGGGCGTATTTTGGTGGTGAAATTGACATAGAACGCTCGCGTTTGCGTTTCTCTTTTGTTTGTATGCTATCCCGTATGATGAGTTTGTCATATTTCAATACTGCATACTTTCCCTTCTGTCTTTCTTCTATCAACTGTTGTTGGAGTTCCCTTCTTTTAGTTAGTACATTTTTAGGATAGTCTTCATTTAAATAGATTCCGGGCAGCTTTTTCTTATTTCTCATGATTTGTTCTTTTTTCCAAGCATGTAAAAGAGAGATGATAACAGGTCTTGGTTTTTCGTTATCTACCCCCTTTTTTCCTAGGCGGTATATATTATTGATGTCGTTATGGCCGATATCTATATTTATTTTTGATCGAATCATTTCAGTGACTATTTCTATTAGATTTTGTTTTGAAATCTCTTCCTCTTTAAATCCAAAGGCTATAATATTATTTTTACGGTTTTCGCGCTCTAAATTATCAATTTTCTCGCGTAGGTTCATGTTTTCGGATTTCAAGTCTGTTATTGCTTTTACTAAAGGGTTTAGTTTCTCCTCCATTTTTTGCATAATTAAATTCGATTGTTTTTGCATTTCTATCTTCATGTCATCAAAAAGTGCTATAAGATTATGATCCATTCTTTACGATCACGAATCGGAACTTAGTCGTTGGTAGCTTGTACTTTTTAATTATGGCAGCAATTTGGTATATATCAATAGTGCCACTTTAACTAATATTGATTGTCAAAGTATTATGTCGGCTCAAATAACCTTCAAAGTTTCACGAGTTTAACACAAGATCTTAATGTTTAATGCGTCACTTCACACAATGTTTTATATTTAAAAGAAATGCCACTATTACTTTTAACCTATTTTGTGATAGTACACTACGTTTTTCCTAGTTTTTCTGTATTTTTGTTGAGTATTCGTCTGGAGCGACTACTATTACGTGTGCGTGTTTTGACAGCCGGAACTTGACAAAAGGCATACACACTTTTTAATGATTTTTTTAAAGTTCTTCTTGACGTGGCGAAATTACTTAAATAGTCGTTTATTTTTTTAATTTGTAACGAGCCCGAAATCTTCATAAATAATGCTCTCTTTTCTTCAGTATTGACGGTATGCTTATTTTGTATTTCAAGGCTATATGAAGCCGCCCCGTGGTCGGCTGAGGCCTGGTGTGCGGCCAGCGAGTGTTTCGGGCTGGCCGCGACCCGCTTAGCCTGGTGGCGAAGGGGGGGCGCCGGGGCTGCAGCCCTCGGGGTTCGAGCGGGCACTCCGGCGGGACTCGCGGTGCGTTCGCTGCGGGCGGACACCCCACACGACCTTGCAGAAGTTGCAGGTGCCCTGGTAGACGGTGCACACCATGCAGTGCGGGAACAACCTGAGTTCACTTTTCGTAAGTATGAAACAGTCAAAGAAGCTTTAGTACAACTTTACTTGTACATTCATTTGGTAGCATTCTGTTTTCTTATTTTTAATTAGGGCCGTAATTATTAATAAGTACTAATAACCAGGTACTATTTGCGCACATAGATTAAAATACATTGGTGTGCAGCGGTAATCAAATCTGCCTTACAGGTTGCCGATACCGGGGCGCCTGTGGGCGATTATCTCTAGGTGCGAGTGGAGTATGCGTGTGGGAGGCGGCGGGGTCCCTCGGCCGTGGTGGGGCAAGGGCTCTTTACCGACGACCTTTGCACGCCCTTAGAGCCTCCGCTGACGACGACCGTACAGCACTGTGGTTGCACTTCGCTGACGATGATACTCTGGTAATTATATTGTGAAAATGATTTTTTCAAATATAGTAATTTATTTCACGTTTAATCATATTTTTGTGGCTAATCCTGCAGCCGGATCTTAGACTATAAACACCGCTTGACAGAAAAAGACAAATAAGCACATTATTGAAAACAATGTAATTGGACTAATTAGTTTGCATCAATACGGAGGATAGTCTCTCCTCTCTGGGTCCCATATATTTTAACATTCTATATAGGGTATTGTTCTGAGATTTGTACCTAGCTAGTTGACCATTTTATGCGTATGGTGCATGCATAGCAATAAATTTAAATCCTTAAATCACTAGCGGAAAAAAACCATGTTGCCTTCCTTACAAAACTTGGTCCCTTTGGCTTCTTCTTTTACTCGGTTTTACAGACCAACCTTCCACAACGAATTTGTTTAAAATAGTTTTTTTTAACAGGAACTAGACATGGAGGGTAGTCCAAAACCAGCTGTGTTTATTCTGCACAATCTCTTGTCCGCGCGAGTTCATTCTCTACCGGGCGAAGCGTCGGCTCAACCACTATAACACGAGGATGATGACCGAGGAACTTGTAACGAATAAGGAATATTAGGTCAAAATCATTCCGCTAGGGGCGCTATCGAGCCAATATAGCTAGTATTAATTTGAACATTGACGAGATTTGACATTTGACATTGACATAGAAAATTAACATTAGAACGAAACGCGCGAAATTACGTTCAAGCGTGTGAACTTTTAACTATTGTCGATCGTTCTCTAAAAAGTATTTCACAGTACATTTTTACTCTATACTCATTTCTATTAATTTAATGTTACTTTATTCTTCGGAATATATTATGGCATTGTGTAATTTACATGCATTACGTGTAAAGTATCAATCAACTGTAATTACCTGCGCCCTCTAGTACTGTTATTTTGCATAATTTTGTTAGACTGATTTTTTAAAAAACATCAGTATAACAATGTTTAGATAATATTATCCCTTTTAGGATGACATCATCATCATGAGATGGTTAGATCGAAAAGTGAACGAATTGAAAATGAGTGTACTGGAATAGCCAATAGGCAATATCTCAACAGTTATTGTTTTATTGCTTGTAAATGGCATTGAAAATGGTTTTTCTATTGAAAAAATAGCCTGCTTAATATTAAGATAGGCTGCCATAGTTGGGAAGTATGGCAATATTTATCAAGTTTATTCAATAATTTAAGTAATTAAATTGTTTTAATCTGGCTACACTGATAAGTTACCCACATTTTATAATCAGCAATATAAATACAATTTCTTTATTTGTGTAAGAGGAAAATAATCCTCAGATCAATATAATCGACCGACTGCTCTGTTGAAATTTCTTCCAAAGAATGAATCTCTTATATTTTACTGATTATTTTTTAAGCCGTGACAAGTGACGTTTACAATATATTTTTTATATTTTTTGTTATTGTTTAGATATATAAATTAGTTGTAGAATTTATACATTCCCAGAATGTAGAGTAGATTTGCTTTAATTATTGTAATTGTATTAAGTCAATATTGTAGGTGATGTGTAATCTCATGTAATTTAGGATTTTAATATTCATTGTTGCGGATAGACATAACGATAGTATTTTCGCTACAATAATCGTAAGCGAAGCGTTCAATTGATTTTACATGAGTTATACGTCCGATACAGAGAGGAGCCGCAATTCACGAGAGAACTTTAGAATTTAAAAAAATGATTTTCGTATGTCAGGTGAACAAGTGAATTGACAAAAGTTTCGTACTAGCAATGCCATTGACCAATCACAATCGAACGGAACCATCGTTTCGTCTTTCGTTTTACATTCTCAACCCCTGTTGCTTGTGCTTTAATAGCACGGAACTCAGCGTTCTCTGGAAGACGGAGTCTAAGTGACACGTTTTACTCAATAATGTAAATAAAATCAATTGAATGTTTTTTTTAAGTACCAGCTTATTCTCATATTTCATAATCTCTACATTCTTATGTATGGCAAACATATATCATGATAGGTTACAAAGCAATGTTTCTATATTCATGTCTTCGGAGTGAAAAGGCAATAGTTAGTGTTTTAAGTGTTTCATAAGGTAATTTTAAGGATCACGTATGCTTAGTATTAAAGTCATAAGTCAATTTTATGAAATTGTCGTGAGATAATAGAATCGAATTTCATGGCATAATATGTAAACAAATAGTAGAATTCTATCACTTTTTGACGTTTCGGTTTCGGAGCCTTTGATGGTTATACGGGATGGTTAGGTCCTAGGCAAATTCTTTAAAAAGAAAATAATAACATGGTATACGGTGGTTTTTACCCGCTAAATATTTGCTTCATAACCTCTCATATCCAGACCGTCCAAATAATCATTTCAATTATCCCTTTATTCTAAGCCAAACTTTTTCCTCTACTGAGAAATCACTGTTTGCTGTAAATATACATACTGTTATCTTGCGGCAATTAAACCGAGGTTACCATGATGTATTGATTTTCAATTGTCCACAAATGTTTCATATTATATATTACATCGTTACAGAACGATATTGATATTAAATATACAACCACAGGCTAGGATCAATAATGAATCATCGAAAAATCTGATACTCTACTCATTGTTAAATAGAAAAAAATCGGATTCCATGTTTTTCAGCCTTTTTGCCTGCTCTATTTGGATCCTACTACCTTGGGTATATAATATTAAAATGTATTGGTTGGTATAATCTCTCACTCTTAACTTTAAATTCGACATATACTTAATATAATCATGTTTTATTTACGATATTGTAATGATATTTAAATATAGGAATCTTTTAATGAAGCTAACGTGATACATCGATTGACTAACGATTTATAAAATCCAAAAAAAAAATGGAAACATTGGTTTATTGGATAGGATATCCAAAACATTGAAATTTAAAGACTAATGTTTGCTATCATATCAATTACGATGAAACATATACATATAATTAACTGAAACTATATCTCTTAGGATTTCTAAAGACATTCCTCTAAAGACTTTTTACAACTGCTAGCTACTGTACTGACTTTTAACATTTTATCGCGTATTAGCAATTTAAATAATAATTGTATGCAAAATATTTTTTGCTCCAGACACCTTTTTAAATTTTACATTCTTTCTCAAATTCATATGTTTAAAAATTTTGTTAAACAATATCTAGTTTTACCTAAATTGAATTAAGATGTGCTTGGAGCAGATTATATTTTCCTAAAATCTCTGAGATGATAAGACAAATAACGACCCAGTTTATTTTGCCGTTTTATTATCGATGGGATGCTTTAATGATTCGTAACCAAAATCACAACCAATGATCGCATAAACTAATAAGTTTTTTGTACCTTATAGTTTAAGTTAAATGATTTCACTGCCAATAATATATGTTTACTTATACTTTTAAGATTTGGCATTGTTATATTTATTTTAACCTGTTATTTTGTTATTTTATTAATATCTTAACACGTTTACTGTTATTTGTATTATTCGTATGTGTGAATAGCAGAGGTGGATTTTGATCACTGTATATCAAATGTATGTGATCGATTGGTATGTGAGATTTCATCAACACTTAGATTGTAATTTACTATTAAAACAACGAAGAAAATATGTTTGTTTTATTTTACTTTAAGGTGGAAAATGGAATGGTTTTAGGAGCATGATATATTCTGCATCTACTTATGGTCTTTGTTGGTAATGAAGCAGTCGCAAGCGAGAAGTCCGGATTTAACGCCGGATGATTTCTATGTCTGGGGTCATATTTAATCTCTAGTTTATCGTCTTAAATAGTTTTTAAACATTAGAAGAAAAAAATATTAAATAAGTTAAAGTTGGATTAAATGGATTATGGTTGCATTTAGTGCAATTTGCATTGTTCCTAAACACTAATTAAGCGAAATATGTAGCAGCTGGTCAGTAAACCGAGATTGCAGCACTAACAGATCCTGTATAATATAACGCAGCTATGATGAGACATGTGGGTTAGGTCGAGTAGTCAGTCAGTAATGAAAAAGAAGGCATGGAAAATATTTGAAAATGATTACAAAACGGAAAGTGTGTGCACATCTATATGTTCACTATTACTATTTTATGGCATTTTTTATCCGCTCTTTTGGACGTAAAAATCGAACGTTTAAAACTACAAAGGTGATTGAGCGTAGGTAGATAACTATTTAGCTAACTATATTAAGTCAGGGTTGCGTTCCATCAGGTCGAGTGTGCTGTGCAGTATGCCTGAGAGCTCTTCTAACTACTTGAATCGTCTCCAGTCTATGGACACTGTTTAAACCATGCTATACAAAAGCCATCTATTGATCGATTTTAAAACCTATTTTTAACAAGATGCTAAAAGCTTTTTCTTGTCGCTTTAATATTGGCTCTTGTGGATATTCTATAAATAGACAAATCGATTAAAATCGATGATATTGTCTCGGAGTTTTGCACGGTTTTTCAAATTCATTGAGTAAATTCGGGATTGCCTAACTGACCAGTGATCTGCATGCCAATTTGCCTATATTACCGGGTTTCAAACGAGTGACTGAAATGATTATGGTTGATAAAATGTTGGTTATTTTAATTGTTTTAACTTCTCTGTATATGTGAAATGTTATGTCATTATTTGGTACAAAAATACTCGGCTCAATTGGCTTTCAGGAGTTCGAAACCGAGATAAGCCAACATATAACTGTCCAAGGAAAAACGATGCTACAGGAAAAGGCAAAACTCAGGAGAGAGTGAATCTGACAGGCTGGTACGAGAGGAAGCTTGCAAAAGCTTGAGGCACGAAGTTCTTAATTTTTTTAAATTACAACGATGATTTAAGGATGATTGTATCAAAAAGCCTGTAACGTAGTCTGTAAGCCCCGGCGTTATTTTCGAATTTGGAAAAACTGGGAACGGTGGATAGTTATGGAATATTTTTTTAAAAGTTAATGTACAAGAGTGATTTTCACCTTAGCTTTGATCGCCGATGCAAATGACTGCGAGTGAAACTTTGAGGATTAAAAAGAGGAATTTAATTATCGAGTAATTTTCATTTTAACAGGAATTTGGGAAACGGTGAATAATATCATAGATTGGCTGCTGTATTCAGTGTCCAAAAATGCCGTTTATTGCTTTGCCTAAATTTTGAGTAACTTGTAAACAATGCCATAAATATTGCCGAAAAATTGGACGTTGAGGCTGTCTTTGAAACTTCCAGATCCAAACCCCTGAGATGTCTTAAGACTACAATGAGTTTTGATTTTGAACACGACCACCACCTTATAAATGATCCGATAACCACTTTTAAAATTAATGTACCTATATATTGGACCAAGCTGTATCCTCCGTAGACGAAAGATTTAATTTATTGAAGAGTCAAAATGTATTTAATTTTTTATTTAAACTAAGTGTCTTGGTCAAAGATCAAGGTCGATTGAGAAGTAGCTGTCATCGTTCATCATTCAAAAAATAAATAAGGTATGTAACAATTGGCAAGCGGACCTTTGACCTATTTAGGTAAATATTATTTAAGTATATTAAACTGAAGAACATT